GGGGGATTGTAGTTCCAGTGCCCTCTACTGATTCACAGAATTATCATCATCTCAAATTATTAAATTCAACGTTACACCTAGTTTTAGGGTACATGTTTAGATATTATAAATCTTCAACATGATAATTTATGTGCTAATATAAAATTTAACTTGTACTGCCTTACTTATACTCACTTAAATGGTTATAAAGAAAAAGATATCATGTTCTTTGTCAGTATTTTATTATGTTTAAAATTTTTAAAAGATTTTATTTATTTATTTTTTAGAGAGAAGGGAAGGAGAAAGAGAGGGAGAAAAGCATCAATGTGTGGTTGCCTCCCTTGTGCCCCCTACTGGGGACCTGGGCTGCAACCCAGGCATGTGCGCTGACTGGGAATCAAACCAGCAACCCTCTGGCTTGCAGGCCAGCACTCAGCCCACTGAGCCATACTAGCCAATGCTCTTTGTCAGTATTTTAAAGACTGAGTATGCAGTACTTAAAATCTCTTTCACATGATGTGATTAAAATTCAGTGCTTTGAGTATCTTTGATCATTGGATATAATAGGAAATATTGTGGTTATTTTGCCATAGGTCATTACAATAAGCTAAGTCTTCACTTGTTTTTTTTCCATACCCTTCCTAAACTGAATATTTGAATCAGGAAAATCCTATATAAACGAAATATATAATGGGCTCCCTCTCTTTTACTTATAGTCTTTTACTTATATTCAGTTGAGAATATGAAGAGCTATGTCATTGTTCATTTTTTTTCTTGGACATAAGGAACTCATTCTTATATTAAGGCAGAATTTCCACTCAAGACAATCAGGCTTAGGGGTATAGGAAGATAGTTCTTAAAAGTAAAGGCTCTTAATTGATGCTTCACTTCTAGTATCCAAGAAAATTTACCAAGAATTTATAGCTGCGTGGTGATATTCTCATTGCTACATGGAGAAACTCAGAATCCTATGAGAATCACATTTGAATTTGAACCTCATATATTTTGGAATGGGATTGATTTATAACGTAATGCCATTTTCAAGTAAATACTTCCAGATAAAGAGCTAACTTAATGTCTGAGACAACATATTGATTGGCTGGCATCCTTAATTAAGCAAATTTTCCTTTTTTGGCTGTGTTCAGTGTGTAAGAGAGAGTGACAAAAGGCAAGCCAAATTAAAAGCCAATATCATTTTTCTTTCTTTAATTTCCAGGGAGAGGTCAAGGTCAAGGTCATATCGATGCAGCCTAATGATTTTACGCTTCCTGAATTTGCAACATTATATCATGATTGCTGCTCTTAAAAAGATGACTTGATTCTAACCCCTCCATGAGAGAGGTTATAATATCCTATGTCAAGGAAAGGTTCTGTTATTCCAGCAATTGGTTTACAGAGTAAATTAATGATTATGTCACTCAAGATTAATAGTTTGAGATTTTTTAACTGCAAAGGACATATTATCAGTCCAGGTTCCCTGCAGGAAAAATATGTCACACCCAAACTGAATACCTTGGCTACTTTCAAAGGTATGGGTAAGGTTTGGGGAAACTGAAAACGGTAGTCCATTACCCAGCCCACTAACAGTCGAGGGAGGGTCAAATGAGGCTGCCATCCCTAGGTCTGAAGAAGTAAGTACAAGGAACATTTCTCCAGAGACAATGCCTTCATTTCCCAAACCCAACTAGAAGCCACAGCGATCAATAGAATCAGCTGCCCAGGGTTCAGAGCAGGCGCAGAGTGGATCTGAAGTGACAAACAGCAGAAATGCAACACAGAAGAAGAGGAGATGAAAAATCAATAATATCAATAGTGGTTAGACTACTAACAAGCCAAGCTGGATTGAAGCTCTGGGTCCTGACTCGAGAAAGGAAGACAACAAGCCTTTACTGAGTGCTGTTCCAGTTACTACTGCAATTTAACAAACCAACCTAAACTTAGTGTAATAAAACAACCATCATTTTATAATGCTCATGATTCTGTAGGCCAGAAATTTAGACAGGATGCAGTGCGGGGGGATGGCGTGTCTCTGAGCTTGATGTCTGCACCTTGGCAGGAAGGCTCACATAGCTGGGGTGATTCCAATGCTTGGATGTTGGAATCACCCGGAGGCTTCCTTACTCACGTGACTGCCACCTGGGCTGATGACTCAAAGGCTGAACTCATCTGGGACTGTCAGCTAGAACACCTATACCCAGCCTCTTCAAGGGTGCAGGCTTCTTATACCTTGGCAGCTGGAGTATCCTAAGAGTGAGAGGGCCTCAGGAATCAGATGGAAGTTGCATGCCTATTATGACCTAGCCTCTGAACTCTCACAGCCTCACTCCTGCCATTGGTCCAAGGGTAGGGATAGCTAGACACCATGTCTTGATGGAAGGATGGCATGGTCACACTGTGGAAGGCACTTGCTGGGAGAGGGATTATTGTTAGAGCCATCATTGGAAACTGTGACTTGCCATATATGCATTCACTGAGGCACTATGAATTAATGTAATTTTGAAACATTCTGAAAACAATTACAACAAACTGTACTCTAGGTAAGCTGTACAACTATGTTAACTAGAATCCTCTCATCTAGAGTTTCTGGTGATTAAACTTTAACTTTGGTGTTCTTTCATGGATTATAGGTTTTAAAATGTCGAAGACATTTCCAGGAATCCGCTTCCTGCCCTTCAACAGGTTCTCACTGTCATTCTTGTTCTCTTGCAATTGGTCAAATGATGCGTAGAACAAAAGGTAGAGACCAGAACTCAGGACCCTTGGATTCTACTTATTTGTTATATTTAGTTAGCCAGAAATTGGTAAGGAGTGGCCTTATAGATTGCATTTTACCAAATGAACCCACACACACCAGAATTGAGGAAGAAGCCTCTGGGCAGGTATTGCCTTCCTGTAACATGGGAGAAGTCAGGCTGTTGGAGTGAGGCCCCTCAGGGAGGATTTGGGCTTAGCTTTGTATCTGTTATGTGAGAACTCAGGGCGAGGAGACTAGAAGATTAGTGGTCACCAGGCCCACTAATGCCAACTGAGAAATTCTGACATATCCTTATTCATTTTCCATTATGCACTTGACAGTTTCTGCCTGGCCGGTCCCATGGATTGACCCGTGCAATGTCATTAACGCTCTGCAGGGGATTTCATTTAATGTTTTGTGCCCTTTTTCTACTCCTGGAGCACTGAGCACACTTCTCTTTGTTATTCGTGAAGAGAAACAAGCCTTTTGGGAGTGTTTCCAAAGTATTAGAGTCACCTCATCATTTTCTTTGATTTTCTGACATCAAGAATTTGCCAAATTACCCAAAGTTTTGATAAAACTTCTATATCTCTAAGCTTTTTCATTTTTCTGTGCTTCAGTGGCAGGTGCATGTCAGCTTTGCTGGCTTCAGCCCTTCTTGGTCTCTTGTCCACTCCCATTGTCTGAGACTCCTCTACAGGAGTGCGCGTCTTTCCAGCAAAGACTCACATGTGGCGCCATGAAAGTTCTCTTTATAATGTTGCTTCCAGCTGTCAAAAGTGTTTATTTATATGACAAAAGAAGAATAACACATCATCTATCCATTCAGAAAGCCTGCATGGTTGAAAGGGTACCTCTCTTTTCAAAAAGAATGAAATACTGTTTAACAATAACGTGCTGCGGATTCATTTTAAAGAATTTGCTTCACTGTTTGCGACTTCCTCTGATGTTTTTAAAGGGCGAGGTTCTGTTGCTGGTTTCAGAGTATGTACACCAGCCTGGGCCATTAGGCCAGGCCAAGCCCATGGGAGGCTGGGTGAGGGGTCGAGTGCAGGAGGGCTGGCTGCAGTTCGGGTCCTGTTGGCGGTGTGGCTGGGGGAAGCCCCTCCCTGCCCTTGCCAGTAAAGGGAGGGAATGGCTGTCTTATTGTTATACTCCCAGCCACTCCAGTTCTGTAGTTCTGTACACAATGAGCCCACTCAAGGCCCACTGTCCTGAGGGCTCAGGGTGGCAGCCTCCTGCAAGCTGATTGCTCTGTCCCCTGGGGGTCTCAGTCTTCAGACCCCTCACCCTGTGTTTCACATTCAGCGTTGAAGTGTTCTCTCTCTCAAGAGGGACGATGAATGACTCTCTTCCTGACGGTCCCTTTACCTTTCAATCTAGGACACACTAGCCACTCCTCCAAGTTCTCTTGCTAATGACATCCTAGTTAGCAAAGCCAGTGGCCCTTCTCCTTCCCCAGCCTATGGGACTTCACCGTGACCCAGTTTCTTCATCTGTCAGATAGTGATAATGATAGTGTTGACCTCATTGGGTTGTTGTGGGGTTTTAGTTGTATATGATAATAGATAGTAGGTGATACATTTTATATATGTTTTTACTTGTCTGGGACACACACATGGTTAGAACAGTGCCTGGGACAAGGCAGGCACTATGTGAATTAGCTATTATTGTATATCCAAAGTCAAGTCCAGTCTACAGATGGGAGAGCTTTGCCTGCCACTCTCTGTCTGCCTCTCATATTCACGTTGCCAACCTGGTCTCCAAAGGCAGCACCATTATCAATCCCTGCAATCGAAACCCTCTTCTCGAAAAATATACCCTCTCAAACCTCACAACGTTATTTTGAATTTCATTCCTGTCTTTCAGAGTTTATGGACCCCAACTACTAGAAAGAGCCCTACCTCCTCTCTTCCTTTACTGAACTAATAATGTAGCAGTTGTGTTGTAATACCTGGTGGTATATGCTTTCCTAATTTAAATCTAATTTTTTTTTTTAATTTGGCATATGTGTGTTAGTCTTACCTGCACAGCGAGACTGTAATCTGTGTACTGGAGTATATGGTAGTCTGCCTATATTCTCTGTGGTCCTTCCATCCAGTGCCAGCTGCACCCTGAGTGTGGATAATAAGAGGTCCCCAATTCTCATTCCTACTCTAAGAACCAAATACCTTACAGACCACTTCCCATGAGCTATACGCTTAATCGCTTGACGTGACCAGGGACCTGACACCGGACATGCGGGCTCCGGATTCAATGTGTGTGGACCTTTCTGCCTGACCTCCAGGTATCCGCCGCCAGACTGCCCACTGCATGAAGAAAGGCCATGGAATGGTGAAAGCTACGTTCTGTGACCCAGAAACACAGCCCAACGGGAGACAGAAGAAGTGCCACGAAAAGGACTGTCCCCCCAGGTAACCAGGGACAGCAGCTGGAGCTCTGTGTGTCTTCCTGGAATGATGTCTGATTTCATGGTAGCCATTGCTCAGTGATGAAGGAGGGCCCCGGGGCTTTGTTATTAGAATAATACAGGACAGTTATTCTAGGTCTCCGTGGCTATGCTGTTGGAGCCTCTGGCAAGGTGTGACTGAGAACATTTTCCTCCCAGAGAGCCATGTTTCTTATGAGACAAAGCTGGTGTGCTCTGTTTTTAATTATTTGGTAAGACTAAGACTCAATATATTGTTGAAGACAGCGTTGTGTAGATCACCCAAAAGTTCTTCAGTTACTGGGTTTGGCTTTCCTAAGAGCACTTTACCAGTGCGACAGCCGCCTCCAGACAACATGTTGACCCTTCAGATCCCAGCACCCATTTGTCCTGAAGGCTGTCAGAAAAGTAGACTTACAAGCCAGGCTTTCTTACCTCAGCACTCTGGATACTTCGGGCTGGATAATTCTTTATTGTATGTAGGGTCTGCCTTGTGCTTTGTAGGATGTCTAACAGCATTCCTGGTCTGTAGCTATTTAGAGCTTAGTAGCTCCCTACCCCCCACCCCATCCAGGCTGTGACAATCAAAATGTCTCCAAATGTCTCCTGGGGGACAAAGCCACCCTTGGTTGGAACCACCATAATAGAGCTATTCGTTCGCTGCTACTCATATTGGTTGAAGATATTGGGATCCTAGAAGGTAGCTTGGATGTTATTATGAGGTGTTTATGTTAAAAGAAAGAGAGAGAGAGAAGAGGGAGGGAGAGGAAGGGAGAGAGGAAGGAAGGAAGCGAGGGAAGGAGGGAGGTAGGGAGGGAGGAAGAGAGGAAGGGTGAGGGATGAATGGATGGATGGATTCTGGGAAGTATCTCCATTCTCTAGTGAGCTTAAACAAGGATTGTATTTAGGCTGCAGATTCCATCAGGCCTAAGAAGACATACCAAGAATTTATTTTAACAGGAAGTGACTAGTGGGCATAACAAATAAAACAAATGACAGGCTAAATTCTAAAGAAGAGCTAGATGAATGTGATAAATGCTGAAGAACCATGTGAAAAAGCAAAGAGTCCAGACAAGTCATGGAAGGCAAGCCACACTAGTCTCTTGTAGGTTCGAACAGTCAGGACCCAGGGGCTGAGTGTCCTCGCCTCCCAGTCAGAGGCCTGTTCTCTCCCCCGTTCCGTGGGCTCCTGTGGGGAAGACATGGATAGGGAGGCAGAGCTGGTGCCACCTCTACTGAGACAGGACAGAACTGCTGCCTCCACCCCACCTCGCTGGAGCTCCCTGGCTGGGAACAGCTAGGCGGATAGGCCAGTGCTGGGCTGTGCGTGCCCTTGCTGATGGGTAGCCTGCTGCCCTGCCGGACAACTGCCTGTGTTCCCGGTAGCCTTCTCCCTCAAAGTTCGTGACCCTCTAGCAATTAATGGCTTTTGCATTTTTGCATTCATTAGATAGCAACTGCTGCACACGTGCCTGGGAGTCTGGCCTCACTTTTCAAAGCCACTCTCCCTGGAGGTTTGACCACCTTCTTAAAAACACAGCTGTTTATTTCCTGAATCTAATTTTATCCCTGGGGTTCAAGTTCTCATTCTTATTGTTTTACAGAGTTTGCCTTGGCCTTAATGTTATCAGCAAGTATTTGTTTAGCATTCCTTATTTCCCATGAGAGATATAATACTGCTAATAGCCATATAATAGTTACCATTTACTGAGCACTGATATCATGATGTAAATAACAGACATGTAGCTAGAGTCCATGCCTGTTTTTAGGCAGAGCTCCTAAAACCTTTGGAATCTCTGAAGTAGAAGTGAGCTGTGTCCTTTTCATGCTCAGGAGATGACAGGCGGTGGGGCCTCCTGGGTGGCCCCAGAGCGGGGCCGGTTGCCAGAGGAACCAACTGTGCAATCAGAGCGTTGAAACTTGCAGCCTTCACCCCCTAACCTCTGGGGAACGAAGAGGGACAAAAGGCTGGGTTAATTACTAGTGGCCATGATTTAATCAGCTGTGCCCTTGTAATGAAGCCTCCATCAAAAAGCCCTAGGAGCCAGGGTATGGAGTGCTTCCGGGTTGCTGAACCACACGGAGGTGCTGGAAGGGGGTGAGCCTGAAGAGGCATGTAAGCTCTGAGCCCCTGCCTGCGTACTTTGCCCTAGACAGTTCTTTCCTCTGGTTGTTCCCGAGTTGTAGCCTTTTATAATACTCTAGTCATCTAGTAAACAAAATATTTTCCTGAGTTCTGTGAGCCACTCTAGCAAATTATCAAGCCTGAGGAGGGGGTCATGGGAGCCCCCTCTTTACAGCCAGCAAGTCAGAAGCTCAGGTGACAACACAGGTTTACAACTGGTGGCTGAAGGACCAGGGGTCAGCTTGTGGGACTGAGCCCCAAACTCCAAACAGTTAGTGTCAGAATTGCTTAGTGTGGAAAATCCACACATTTGTTGAAACAGCAGTATTGTGAGAGCAGAAGAGAAGTATACAGTAAGGTTTTTTTAAGCACCTACTTCACTCTTGGCAATGTTTTAGAGATGCCTGATAATATTCTTTTTATTGTTCTCAATTACTTGGAGAAATAACTGTTGTTATGCCCATTTTACAAAGGAAGAAAGGTTCATTACCTCACTCGGTATCGTGCAGCCAGTCAATGGCAGAGGTTGGAATCCAAGGCTGTCTAGCTGTAAGTCTGCTGCAGGCTTACCTGCAACAGACCCGCCAGGGGGAGGCTGGCACCGCTCCTCTCCTGTGCGCTGGTCTGAGGCCAAGCAAGCACGGTGCTGGGTGTGGTGGGGACCGACACCTTTTGATGCAGATGCTGACTTGCTGAGGCCAAGGCAGAACTGGGGACATTAGCTGTGTACATAACACCCATGTGGTCAAAGATTGTGGATTCAGTATCAGCTCTGTGTTTTATAACAGACATCAGTCTATAGCTGACATTTTCTTTTTCACCTGTAGCTAAGAACTTGGCTTCACTGTTTCCAGAAGTCTCTTTCCACAAGGGTAGTTATTCTACCTACCTCTGCACCCCCGTTACCAGAGCTTTCTGGTTGGAGGTAACCTTATCATAAGATAAGAGAAGGAGATGGATGTTGGGGCAAAAGTACAGAGTCCAGAGGACAGAAAATGAGGCGAGGCTGAACTGCTGTATGCAGAGGAGGAGCCTTCCTTGATAACTCTTACGTGATACAGTCTGAGCTCTCTGCACTTGAAATTAGCCCTGAGTGCAGTCCTGTGGAGGCTGAAAAGTAGTTCAAAGATAGCCACTCCCTGTTCTCTGGTGCCTGAGAATATTACCTTATTTGGGAAAAGGGTCTTTGCACAAGTGATTAAGGGTCTCGAAATGGATTATCCACTTGGTCCCTAAATGTCATTACAAGTGTTCTTATCAGAGACAGGCAGAGGGAGAATTCCCACCCACACAAACACAGGAGAAGGCGTACGAAGATGGAGCAGGGAGAGATTCGAAGACACTAAGACACTAGCCTTAAAGATTGGGGCAAGGTGCCACCAGCCAAGGAGTGCGGGCAGGCACCCCTGACTGAAAGAGGTCAGGTCCAGCTCTCCCCAGAGCATCCAGAGAGAGTGCCGCCCCGCCTACACTTTGGTTTCATCCCAGTAGGCCTTATTTGGGAGGTCTCACTTCCAGAACTATAAGAAACTAGATTTCTGTTGCTTTGAACTGCCAAGTGTGTGGTTATTTGTTACAGAAGCTAAGATAGGCAGCTTAGTGCAAGCATGGTGTAAAAGTGGGGCCAGTGCAGAGATCCCTCCACCAGGTCATGGAATCTCCAAAGCCTGGAAAACCGTGCAATTAGAGCCTCTTAAAGCATGTAGCAAATGACTTTTTTTTTTTTTGAATAGCACAGATATGTCACTTCCTAAGGAAGCTCACAGCCAGGAAGGCTACACATGTGCATCAGCAAGGCGGAGCTGTAGTTGTCAGGGTTGGGGCGGGCAGGCAAGAACCTAGATGCCTTGCCCAGGACCTGCCTCCTGGCCCCTGCCCAGATGGACCCTGTCCTCCTTGGGGCTTTGTGGTTACTTGACATCTCTTGATTGCTCAGTTCTAAGGGCAGTATTAGAAGAAGGTCCATGATACATCTCCACCCCGAGAATGCTGCTTAAGCCAAGTGTACGGATGCAGCGTGTTGATTCGGAGCAAAATTTTGAAATGCACCAACTACACAGCCCTCTCCCACAAGCTGGCTGTGAAGCCTGGCAGTTAGAATGGAAGTGCTGATGGCCACATGCAGGGGAAGCTGGGCCACCAGAGAGAGCCTCTGTGCATCCCAACCGACACAAGTGTGGCGTCCTGCGCCGAGGCTTCATGGCGAGCTGATGATCATTCTGACGCGTCTGCCATTTCACATCACTACCAAGGAGCATGTTTACCCAAAGGAGTTGAAAACATATTGAGAACGCACTCTTCTTTTATCCGTTCTATGTTAAATATCATTTATTCTTGTTAGCAGCTCTGTCTGGTAGATATTTTTGTACCATTGTATAGATGGTATACCAAAGGCTTCACAAAAAATTTCAAGGTCATTTAGCCACAGTGGTAGAGTCTGGATTTGAACCCAGATCTGTCTACTCAGAAGTCTGTGTTGGTACTACCACATCATGCTGCTGCCCAGGATCTCAGGATGGACAGGTTCTGTTGCTAAAACCAAACTCCCAAATTTAAAATAGTTCTCACATGTTAAAACAATGAAAATGATATAAACAAGCAGAAAGATCTGACTCTAAATCTGAGTTATGCATGTAAATTTATAAAGGAATTAAAGAAAAAAAATTAAGTGAATTTGCTGTTTTAAGAATAAATAAATGTTGATTATTTAGTTGATATCATTTGTTTTTGCAGGCTTAGTCAAGTGGTTTCCTTGGATATGAGTTTCAAGTTGCAACATCTTCCTCTGTCACTGAACTTTCATAATATAGCATCTGGAAAGTTTGTACTCATCATTCAGAGTCATTTCCTCCCAAAGTGATTTCATAGGCAAAACTTAATCTTATTTATGGGTATTGTTCTTCAGCACTAATTTTTGTACATCAAATTTGGACATTCTGTGTTCTTTCCCAAATGAGTATTTAAGAGAGATCTTTTTAAAGATTCTGATAATCTAAAAGTAATAAAATGCTCTGATAATCATAATACAAGATATTCATTATGTGGTCAATGGCTTCCAGGATGGAGTAGCCTGTCAACAAATAAATTCTTGGCAATTAAGTGTATCTGACTCCAGAAAGAGGTCAGGTGAGTCTCTTCTCCCTATTGACTTCTCTCTGAACTTTGGTTTACATCCTAGCTCCATCATCTGCACTTTTGTGCCTGGTTTCTCTTTCCAGTGCTTGAATTGAAAAAAAAGAAAAAATATGCACACACATATGTATGTATTGGGGGTTTTGGTGATCTTCTTTCACGTGACCATATGTATCTGCAGGTGGTGGGCAGGGGAGTGGGAAGCGTGCTCGACGACATGCGGGCCCCACGGGGAGAAGGCGCGAACAGTGCTCTGCATTCAGACTGTGGGCTCCGATGAGCAGGCTCTGCCGGCCAAAGACTGCCAACACCTGCTGAAGCCCAAGGCCCTCGTTTCCTGCAACAGAGACATCTTGTGTCCATCGGACTGGACAGTAGGCAACTGGAGTGAGGTGAGCTCAAGGGTTAAAAGGGAAGCTGGTATTATTTATGCTTCATCAGCCCGTCCGTTCGTTGCCATTAACCAATTGAAAATGATCCTAGGGAAAGTGTCACAATGGCCAGCGGCTAGTCCCTTTGGCCTGTTTCCTACATTTTCCTCCGCCCAGTGTTCTATCTTGCTTGTTTTCCATTCTTATAGGATCTTCCTCACACTTGTCCAGTAGTCAGATACCTGCCAGGGTTGATAAAATCATCAGGATGTTTCTTGGCCAGTTGTTAGACCATTGGTAGCAAGTCAGAGCTCCCCACCCACCCCAAAAGCCAGTGTGTTAAACCCTTACCAGTAGTTGTGTTTCACTGGAGCTACTGTAATGAAGTAAAACCAAAGAAGTGTTGCTGTCATGGTGGAATGATAGGCAGGACACTTGACACTTGAAGAGTTCTCTCAAACTTCCATCTTTTCAACATGTATCAAGGCCAGGCCTGATGAAGGTGTGGGATATTTGCTGTTGTTAACCACATAAATTAAAATAAATTTCTCATTTTCCCACAATTAATCTGACCTAACTCTCTGAATGTAACTAGAAGGTAGTGAGCCAGGTCATGAAAACTCCCGGGCTGCCATTTTCTTTGGGTCACCATGCAGCCTGGTACGATTAAGTCTTGTGCTCCCCGAATCTCTAGTGGAAGCGGATCCCTTTTATCTCCAAGGCTCCTGGAGTCTCCGGGGGCCCCACTCTGCTTCCTTATGCACGTTTCGGTCAGTGACATAGGAATGACCAGGAAACAAATGCTTTTTTAAAAACTAATGGGGCAAAATTTATGGATGGATGCTGACTTCCTGTGAGCTTCCTTGGGAAGTGACATGCTTCCTATAATAACATTGCCATTGACCAGAATATCTGAGAAACTCCTCTGAGAACTCACCTTCAGAGAAACGGAAAACATTTGATTCAGGAGAATGCCACCGAAAATCTGTTGGAACTAAGTCTGATGGATAAGGGAGTAATGGGACCAATTTGGATACAATCTTTTCATTTATTTGATTGCCCTGGCCAGTGTGGCTCAGTTGGTTGGAGCATCATCCCATAAACTGAAAGGTCCTGGGTTCTATCCTGTCAGAGCACATGCCTGGGTTGCAGATTCAATCCTTGGTCAAGGTGTGTACAAAAGGCAACAGATCGATGTTTTGCTCTCACATGGTTGTTTCTTTCCCTCTCTCTCTCTCCTTCCTTCACCCTCTCTTTAAAAATCAATAAGTATGTCCTTGGGTGAGGATTAAAAAAAAGTGATATTTGCTTATAAGTAAACAAGATTCTTTTCATTGCTAATAAAGGTACTCTGAAGGTATCATCCAAAGAGGAATTTGAAAATTTGTACAAGCAAGGCTCTGTCTCTGAAGATAACTAATTGAAAACAGAAAACACTCATCTGAACATAGCCACTTTGATAACCTTATTTCCAAAGCTCTATTTCACTAGCTCATAGTCACAGTTTAGGTTTATTTAGTCTCTAAATCTGTACAGAATGCACTCTTGGTCATGTAGGTGAATTTTTTTTTTTTAATGGCACGTTTGGTCCCTGTATTGCAGAAACTTCCTATCAAATGGAGAGATGGGACCAAAAAAAAAGAAAAGCCAAAGGTATACAGGCAAAGAAAACATACATACAGACTAATACAGGTATAATACTGAGAAGTATGCTGATATATGTGTACATATCAGCCACAGTCCGGAACATTCCCCTTGCTGTTCTCAGGAGGGCACAGTGATAGCCTCTGGTGGCCTATTAGTCCACCACCAGCCTAGATCGACTATTGTAAATTACAGTGTTGTTGAAATAAGGCTGAATGGGGTATTGTGACTGGTCCATTAAATCTGTTTATCAAAAATGTTTTGGCTGCATCTGAAGCAGTTAATACTTTTTGTCATGTAGAAGTTAGTAATTGCCAGAGCCTTCATGCTTTTTAAAAGAACTGCAATTACTTATTTGGCTGAGGAGTTCTTTTTATTCTGTTCACGTTTATGGGGAGCAAAATGACGCGATTTAACTGGAGACAAAGGACCAAAATGTTGGCATGATGTGACAAGTACTTGTGCCTGTTGTCCCAAACGCAGGCCATTGCATGGTGTATTGACAGCAGATGGGGAGCCCAGTTTCTAGCTTCCGCCCGACGGACCTGAGCTGAGAGGCTGAGCCGCTGCCTTCATTCAGCAGGTGTTGTGAGCACCTGTGCCTGTAGTTAAATCGGCATCAAAACACTCCTCGAATGGGCCTTACTAATGTCGGTACACATTAGCCCTCAATTTCTCAAATATTCTATTTGCTGGAATACAGTGATATGTCTTTGACATTCTGAGTATGCTCAGAAACTTTTTTAAGAGAGGTGATAGAGTGGTTCTTGCTATATACATGGTATTTATGGTCTGGAGTTTGCCTTGGGATTGACATTAATTCACACAGGGTCATGCTCTGGCGTGATCATGTGGTCTGCACTGGGCCGTTAGGGTCACGCTGGGGAAGCCTGGAGCTGTGACGTAGCTGGGCCAAAAGACCCAAGAACTGCGAGGCTCCTAGACTGCCAGAGGATGGTCCTCCTGGGCTAACCAAGGTGGAGAAAAGGAGAAAAGGCAACTCCCTGAGCTGTCCTCCCGTGTCAAGGCAGCCCTGCGAGTGCGCACTGAGACTGGTGGGCTCCGCTGCGCCAGTGGTCGGGGGGTCCTAGTGGGAGCTGCAGGCTGCTCCCAGAGAGGGCTTTCCCTCTGTGACCAGCCCCCGCAATCTCAAGTTTCAACTAGAGCCTTCTGGTTTTGCCCAACCCCCTTTCTGGGCTAGGAGGATAAAGAAGGGCGACTCTAGACCTTGCAAACAAAATCCAAGTATCAAAGTTTGTGTGGCTCCCATTTTGACTAGGCTTCACCGCTGCAGGGACTGGCCTCGTGAGAAGCAGCCGGTCTAGTGGTGAGGAGTGTGGCCTCTGGGACACGAGTTCCTGGGTTCAAATCTTGCTCTGCTGCTTATTGGATCGATGGATTTGATCTCTTTGTGGTTACTTCTCCTTTTCTGTGGCTTGTTTTCTCCATCCGTAAATGCGATAGCAGTAGTACTTAGGTTCAAGGGAAGCTATGAGGATTAAATGAATGAGTATTTCTAAAGTTCTTCCTGGAAGTGTCTGGCACACAGGAAGCTCTATACATTCAATTATTTGATAGTGAAGGGAATAGATGGGAATAACAATAACGCCATCTATCATTTGCTGAGTGTTCTCTACACTATATTGTTTGTCTCTTTTAACTTTTACAATAATTCTTTAGGTGGCTGTTAGTTCATTAATTTCCCTGTTTCTCCTGGCAGCTAGGCTAATAGATTTAGTGGAATAGCAATTATTCTAGATTTCTGAGCCCTTGGCAAGCCCTAGCTGTATGCCCTTGAGGCAGTGTTAAACCTCTTTCAGCCTTTTCTCATTTAGAAAGGCAGGGTTCATTTAAAGCTTGGAGATGACCCATGTAGCCCTTCACATAGTGACTGGCAAACAGCAACTATTCACTAGCTGGTAATCTTATTATTAGGCAAGGAGACAAAGGTCTATTTTCCATGCTACTCTGACTTTGCAAGCCTGTCCTGTCCATGGCAACCAAAAATCCTGACAGAATGGATCTGTGGCCCCTGCATTTGGGGCCATAGACCAGTAGCCAAACTCAGGACCATTGTACACACAGAGCAGTGCAAGCCCGGGGTTTAGGGCCTGAGGCATTTCAAGGGTCTGCACAAATGTTAGAGACGTGGGGAAGAGGCTAATACCTTGCATCGTTGGACACAGAAGGATTCTGCCAAGTCAGAATTCAATATTTAATTACCCAATAATAGCAAATACATATCGGGCATTTAGTATATGCATTAAACACCTTTATAGTTATTAACGCTATGTCTCACAATGGCTTATTAAGCCACATTTTACAGGGGAAGCAGCTCAGGCATAGAGGTGGGTAGAAATTTCTCCGCTCTCACACAGCCTCCAAACACAGAGCCAGGCTTTGAGCACGGGCAGCAGAGCTTTGACTCCGAACTCTGCCATACTGCATCCCAAACGTCTACAAAATGTCACCATATGACAGCCCTTAGTATTCGTAAAAAATGTGTTCTGTTTGGAAATAGTTTGTTGATCAGCCTTTCTTGCTGTGCTGCAACTTAAGACTATGCCTAATGATTGCTGAGAAATCAAAACCACTCATAAATTAATTGAGTTACTCTCACCGAATATTTTCAAAAGCAAAAGAAGGAAAAGCCTTTCAAGTGGTTTTTACAGAAAAGGATTGTATTTCACTTGAAACTAGACGTGCTTTTTAATATATTCAATGGGGCATGAGGTGCAGCCTCCACAAGCCAATGAGCCCAGAGTCTGTGAAGACCTTTGCTCAGCCCCTTTTGTGCCTGACAAAAAGCACACAGACAAACGGATGAACAAAACAGTCTATTAGCCAAGTCACTGAGGAGCTGTGAGGAGCAGAGCTGTTCACTTCGGGGCTGGGGTGCACAGGTGGCCAGGCCGACTAAACGCCGATTTTCACAAACGAGCTCCCCTGGCTCTCCAGACAGAAGACACTGCAGCAGGTGTCAGGGACACATCTCCTGCGAGAGGGGGAGCCAATTAGGACTCGTGAGAAGTCCCATAGGAGGTCCTGCCAACTGAAGGGTGACAGAGCATGGCCGGCAAGCAGACGTTTCTGAGCCACTTACCTTCGTGGTCCCCAGTTTCAGTTAAAGTCCAAGGTGTCCTGTGGAGCAGGACACCTGATGTCTCAGCCTCTGCCACCTGCTCTTTTGGCATGGGGCATCTGTAAGTGCCAATGTCTCCATTCTTCCCAGTTGTCAGCAGCTGGGGTTTTGCCAGGCTTCCTGCGGAACACACGTGGGCACTCTCCTTTGAAACAACTACTCACAAAATATTGCTCAGGGGCCATGTTGATTCCCTTCATCATGTCTGATTTTTTAGTAAATTATCTAGAGTGCTGTATTCGTTTCCTAGGGCTGCCATAATGAAGTGCCACAGACTGGGTGGGTTACACGACAGAAACGTGCTGTCTCACCACTCTGGAGGATGGAAGTCCAAGGTCAGGGTGTTGTCAGAGCTGGGTGCTTCTGAGGACTATGAGCGAGACTTCATTCCACACCTTTCGGACTTCTGGTCATTTGCTGGCCGTCTTTGGTGTACTTCAGTGGCTACATGTGTCATCCTGGTCTGTGCTCCCATCTGCACATGGCATTGTCCCTGTGTGTGTGTCTCTGTCCAGATTTCCTCTTTTATTAAGGACAACAGCTATACTGGATAAGGGTCCACCCCAGTGACCTCATTTTAACTTGACTATCTCTGTAAAGACTGCATCTCAAATGAGACCACATTCTGAGGTACACAGGAAGAGTGTGAACAGGGGTTAGGACTCTGATATATCTTTTTGGGAGGGGGAGGGGGCGCAATTCAAGCCATAACAGGTACCTAAGTGTTTTAGCTCTCTTTCAAAGCTGGTTTTAGGATGAGGTCCAGTCATTCATTTATAAATTCCTGAGACTATGCATTCAGTGTTTCATGTCCAAAGCATACACCTCTACACAGCCCTTTAGCTCAAATTCTCTGGTAACCTCCAAGTGTGTTTTTGAATAAAATCCTTTAGTGCTGCAGTTCCACACCAGTCGTGAGCCCCCTCCGGGACAGTGCACCTCGGGTGGGTGGCGTGGGCTAACTTGGCAGCAGATCTCATTGTCAGCGGGCCCCCCAAGGGGCCGTAATCTAGGAGGAGTGGCCAACAAGGTACCTCCCAGGGAGCACATTAGCAGATTGACAAGCTGCCTGCCTAGTACAGAGTTCAGAATTATAAGTTAAGCGCATGTGATAATCATGGCAGAAATTGGTTTTGAGAATTCTGGAACTACCCATTGCGATGAGCTCTAAGTGCAGCGTGTCCTGCACTTATCCCATCCGATGGGCTTGACGGCTCCCGTGGAGATAAACACAGTGGGGGGATGGACTGGCAGAATGTGGGCTGAATACGAAACAGCACTGCCTGTTCCTGCGTGACTACGAACAAAGCAACTTCGTTTTTAGGCCCAATATACTTGGTAGAGAGTTACCTCTATCCCACTGGGCACAGTATAACCCAGGGCTAAGGAGTGGCATCCATTGGTTATCTGAAAGGTTCCGCGTCTACTGGGTAAAGAAGGCGGATGGGGAGGAATGGAAGGTGGGCGGAAAACGTGTTCTCACGGGGTATTGCATGGAATGATGGCCGTGAGGCCCCATGAGATCCACTGAGCATTACGCAGCCCTCAGTCTCCAGAAAGCTGCCTTGGAGGTCAGAGACAGAAGAGACAAATGTGAGACAGCCAGGGAGGGTGCCTGCACTGCTCATGTTAAAGTGCCACCTATTTGCTGGATAACTTAAAATGCCATTGGAAAGGAAAGCTAAAAATGGATGAGTCTGGTAAAAAACATGGATTTTTCAAAACATCTAGAAGTGTAGGTTAGGTCGCAACTATGTGTGGTTTGCAGCTGCTGAGACTGATGAAGCCAATCATTGGTAGTGTGAGTTCTGATGAAGGACTGCCCTACTAGGATTCCCCCAGGGCAGCCTAGCTGCCTGAGCTTTGGCAGGCCCTGTGGGGCCTGGGGGAACGTGGAGGGGGGTCCCAGCCATGGCCCCCATGTACAGATCGGTCCATGCTACGGGGTGCACTGAACACTTTGTAAAGGGTATCTCCCACCTTTGACAAACTACCCACCTTCAATCTCAGGAAAGGTCCTGGATCTCCATCCATGTGTGAGCATGCCTGGCTTTTAATACGATTCCGCCTGACACAGGCAAGTGGAAGTGGAGCGTATGGGGTTTGGGTGAGATGATGCGAGTCCTAACTATGGAGGGAAAGGTTCACTGGAACTCACGCCATAGACTTCAGAGAGCGTCTAGACCTTTCACATTAATTCAATAGCATCAAAACCCTAGGAGAGAGATTATCACTATCTCTTTAAAAGATTAGGTGACTTATGCGCATCTTTGCCCTCTTGGTGAATCCATGATCCATAGCTCAAAGCCCAGCGAGACTTCATTTATACTGTTGTGGTTCGTATTTTCAGTTTGTGGAGGTTGGTCGTGAGCCTCAGCCGGTCTCCAGGAGATACGTATTTCCATGGGAAACTAAAGGAATACAGAAACAAAATATAAACGTGTAAAAACTGACAGTCGCGGCTGCACAGCTCCGTTTCTCCTGGGCCTGCCCTGGCTTGTCAGCCTGAGCGTGAGAACCCGTGCCTCCTTCCCACCCAGGCTAACGGCCGTCTCTCTTTTCCAGTGTTCCGTGTCCTGTGGTGGTGGAGTGCGGATTCGCAGTGTCACATGTGCCAAGAACCACGACGAGCCCTGCGACGTGACAAGAAAGCCCAACAGCCGAGCTCTGTGTGGCCTCCAGCAATGCCCGTCCAGCCGGAGAATTCTGAAACCCAGCAAAGGGCCAGTGTTCAACGGGAAAAGGCCGCCCACATCTGAGCACGACCCGTTAAAGCCCATCCCACCAACGACGCCCAGTCCCAGGATGCTGACCACGCCCACAGTGCCTGAGCCCGTGACCACAGGTGCTCCGGCAATCCACAGCCCCCGTCCCACTGCAGCCTCCAAAGACCTGGATGGGAAACGGTGGCCGAACAGTTCCACCCAGACCGCTCTGGACACCCATGATGTCATTTCCACTGGAACTACTTCCCAGCCCTTCCTCACCACCTGGTCCCTGAGTATCCAATCAAAGGAAGAGAATGTATCCAATTCAGACCCCGGTCCTACCTCAGAGGGAGACCTTTTAGCCACAACCGAGAGTGGTTTGGACTTGTCATCTTCCAGCAGCTCCGTGACTTGGCAGGTGACTCCATTTTACAATACCTTGAGCAAAGAGCCAGACACAGAGGTTCCTAGTGGCTCAGGGGAAGACAGGGAACAACCTGAGAACACAGATGGAAACAACTCTGTAACATGGACCAAGACCATAGCACCGGGAAATGATGCTTCAGGGGGAAGAAGTACAGGAATGCCACTTGGACCTCCGCCAACGCCTTATCTCTCGGAGGCATCCTTGTGGCCACCTGTCAGCACAGTGACAGAAGGACTGCTACCCAGCCAGGGGCCCACTACACTCAAAAATGGCACACCCAGGGCCGAGGGGATGGTCACCGGAAAGCCAGTGAACACCCCTCTCCCCCTGGGGGGAGACCACCAGACAGCACCCTCAGAAAAGCCGGTAAACCACCACCCCCCAGCACTTCCAAGCAACATGAACCTGACAGAGAGTTCTGGACCAGTCCTGACCGAGGAAGATGCAACCAGTCTGATCGCTGAGGGGTTTTTGCTGAATGTCTCCAATTACAAGCCGCTCTCGAGGGGCCACAGCTCTGCGCACTGGGTCGTTGGAAACTGGAGTGAGGTGAGAGCCCCATGGCTTGCCCCGAGCCGGTCTCTCTCTGGGAAAGCGGGAGGGGTATTGCATTCTTGTGCTCGTTTCAAAATGGGCTTGCAGGAAATACGGTCTAATGTGGAATCAATGGGAAGTGATCGGATTTATGCGTTCACCTCCCTCTTTGCCTCCCTAACTCCAAAAATAGGGGGGCGGGGAGGGATCTCCAGGAAAGAGAGCAGATGTAGTGAGGTCTGGGTCAGCCAGCTGTGTGATAGTGGAGAGTTCAGTTAATCTCACAGAACCTGCTTTTTACCTGTAGAACAATAAACCTGTATAGATCATCTCCAGTGTCCCTTCCAGCTATAAGCTGGGACGATCCTCTGATGATGGCCAACTAAAAGGGCACGTTCCATTCAGAAAGCTAAAGTTTGAGACCGTGGTTTAAACCTGTCAAGTAATAATAGTTAGAATGGAAATCTAACACCACATTCTTTAAACGAATTCTATAGCTCACTGTGTTAATGATTTCATGTTTGGGGCATGTATTTGTTTTATATACAAAAGAATCATTTTGGCTTTTTAAAAAGCTAGAATATAGAGGGAAAAGAAAATACATGATGAAAAAATGTTGGCCCCTATTATCAGGCTTTAGGAATTTGGCTAGACATTTGTTTTTCCATTTCTAGAACTAATTCAAAATCATTTCTCACTCATTTGAATTGCAAGTACACAGTATATGTACTTGGGAAAAATTATTTGATGACTCAAAAGAGGACTTTGTGGCAAGATAATCCCATGTTCAAATCACTCGGCATTTTTATGACATTTCATGGCTGATATATGTAGCTAAAGGGAAGTGAAGCAATAGTAGCTAGTATAAAAAACAAATTTAATTTATAAAACATGTTAATTTCCAAATCTCTTTTATATTCAATCTTTTATTCTCTCCTTTTTACAGCGCTGAGGAGCAGGTAGGGTTTGATTTATATCAGTTTATAAATACAGAAACTAAGATTTCCAATGGTTCAGTGACTTGTCTAAGGACACTTGTCATTTGCATGATGAGCCTTCTAACCCTTTCCACTCTAATCTGCTGTCTCTAGTAAATTTCAGTACCAATTGACAACTTAGCTGTATAAAATTTTTTTATGAATTAATAATCTATCATCTTTAGTCATAGAATTGACTATATTGGCAATAAGTAGGTAAATTCAAACTTTCAAAAATTTTTGTTTGCATTTGAACTCTGTTTTCACATTGATTCATGTGTGATTTTTTAAAGTAAATTATCACCTTTCCTGTCAATGTAGCAGCATCCTACTATCTCCATTTGCACGTAAAGAGTACAGGTTCAGGAGAAAAAATAGATGGTCACATTTAGAGGGATGGTCTTATGATTCCTGGCATTGTAGTCTTTTTTTTTTCCCCATTGGGAAAGTTCATATGGGCTCCTTGCAATGAGGAGGGTGTTGACAGTGAGCATTTATAAAGTGTGTGCCATGCTCTAACAGCATGATTTTATGCTAAGTAACATGAATTCTCTCCTTTAATCCTCACCACTGCCCAAAGAGATTGGTAATATTTTCCCCATTTTAGAGATGAGAAAGCGGAAGCTGAGAGAAGTAAAGAGCTAGCCAGGATCACACACCCTCACGAGTGCTGGAGCAGGGATTCGACCCCAAGCAGACACACTTCGTAGCCTCTGACCCATTGCTTTGCAAATGAGAAAACATCACTGCTCTCTCTGCCTTCTGTTGTGGCAGTTCCGTCTTATAAAAACAATGCCGGTTGAGAAGTCACCCTGGGTAGACAGATGAGAAAATCACAAAGTTTACAAGAAAGTATTTTAAAGTAATGTTGAGGGCTCCGTGGTTACTTTTGAGATCACAGGGCCCAATGATCCCTATACTGTTACCACAGTGGGTTCAGCCTAGAAATAAAATTGAGCTGTTCCTGTTTTGTGAGTGACGTCCTTGTAAGGATGTCCTTGAAAGTAGGACCCTCAAATGTACCTTTCCTTCCAAGCACGTGCGGCATCCTTAAAGGACAGATAAATGGGCTTGTTGTCCTCCGTCCATCAAAGCAGTGTGGGCAGTGGGTGGCCTCTGCACATTCAAAGAGAAAGAGAACACATTACGGAAACTGAGTTAATTTGTATGAGTTTGTTAATTAACTAATGGAGATGTAGTCTGAAAGCACCTATAATTAAAGACACTGTGGGCCTTGAGAAAAGTACAGCTTGGTCCAACAGAATATGAAAGAATGGGTGGTAAAAAGGCCCAGGTATAGGGTTGATGTCCGAATAATTGAAATACGACGTGTACAGTAACTGTATGTAATTAGAAACCACACACACACGAGGCTAGGCTGTTGTAACAAACAGAGCTTACACGTTGTGGTTCACTACAACAGGAGTTGACTTCTCACTCACGTAATAATACAAGGGAATTCTGGGACTGCGATGGTGGCTATAGAGAATGAGGCTCTGATCCACCCATGCAGTCATTCGGGAACCCAGGCTGACGCTGGCTCTGCCACTATCCTCTCCCCATAGCATGAGGTTTGCCCTGGAGTCACCATCCTAATCTCAGAAAGGGAAAAGAGCATAGAGGTCGTCCTGTAGGAGGTTTTATGGGCCAGGCCTGAAAGGGGCATGAAATACTTCCGCTCACATTCCGTCATCTAGAACTCCGTCACACGACCAAACTCAACCACAAGGCAGCTGAGAAATGTAATCTAATTATGTGCCCCGGGCAGTAGAGAAGAAAGCTTATGGCCGTGAAGCAGTCTCTGCCACTGAATGACATGGCCTTCTGTGTGGTTGTGGAAGCTCATTCTGGACGCAGTGAGGATGAGGGACTTGACCTGTTGGGAGGTTACTTCAGCGGTCTAGCTGAGGCGTGTGAACTCTGACCAGAATGCTCAGATGACAAGGGAAGGAGAAATTCAGAATACCTCTAAGTCCAGGGGCATCCAACCTTTTGGCATCTCTGGGCCACACGGGAAGAAAAAGAGTTGTCTTGGGACACACATTAAATACATTGCAATGTAATCACAAAAAAACTCATAATGTTTTAAGTAAATTTACAATTTTTACTTAATTTTGTGTTGGGCCACATTCATAGCCAGCCTGGGCCACATGCGGCCTAAGAGCCATGGGTTGGACACTCATGATTAGAGTTCACATCAGTAGGACTTCGTGCATAATTGATGTGGGGTGTGAAAGGAGAGAGGAGGAGAAGGGTCTGCCATGACAATGAAGTTGGAACCCTTCTGAGGTGCCAAATAAAAACTGAGTTGGACCCCAAAACTGAGATATTGCACACCATATAAGCGGAGTGAGTCTTAACAGAGGCAAAGAAAGGGGGAGTGATGGCTTTAGTTTTAGATCAAGTGAAATTGGTAGTACCTCTGGGAAATCCGGATGATAACCAACAGATGTTTGTATGTGTGGGTCAGAGGTTCTTGAGAGAGGAGAAACCTGGAGATAAGATTTGTAAGTCAAGGCCAGTAGGTACAAGTTAGAGCCTTGAGAGGGAAGGATGTCACCCATTAACCTGTGGGATGCCAAGAGGAGTGGGCCAGGGACGGGACTCTAGAAAACATTGCCATTTTAATTAGGACGCTGGCTAACAAAGAGCTCCCACATGGGAGTCTAGTCAGGGATAGTCTAATACTTTAGATGTAAATCAGGAGGAATGGCACCATGGATGTCTAGGGACATGAGGGCTGGCAGTGGACATGATGGATTTGACAATGAGCTGGTGACTGTGGGGAGAACAGCGTTTATGTTGAGATGGAGGGAGGTACCAAGGTGCAGTCCAGAGGGGAGACACTTTAAGAAACTATCACAGCCCGCAGGTGGAGGAGTCCCCACATTAGGGCTGTTCATAGGGAAGGACAATCCCTTCTCTATCCACAAGTTAATATACAAGCCTTATTAAAAAGTAGCCTTAGGATGACCCAGAAATTAGTTTCTTTTCCCACCCTCTTACCTTTTACAATCCCCAAATCCCAGAGCAGTTGTAGAATTATTGAAGTCAAATATGTTCTAATGTTTTTGTCCTAAAGATACATAACATGTGATAGTTCATTGATAAACATAAATGGATTCTATGAGAAATTACTATATCCAAATAAACTAAATCAAAATATAAGTACACATGAAACCTCATGACTCTTTGACCCCAGAGGTTAATCAAGATACACAGAATTAATTCGATCTCCAATGTCATCATTTGACTTCGACAGAAATAAACTCTTATTGACTCCATCATAGCTCGCCCAAAGTTTGGCAACCGTGGTGGAGCCAAGCGAGAGCTATTCATTCTAGGGAGTTGGCTGGAGAAGGGAGCCGGCCGGGACGGCGGCGTTTGTCGGAGCCCCGCGGCCGGGGCGGACGTCTGCACCTGGCAGGCGCTTCCTTCATGGCCGGGCTCGGCGCCTGCTCCTCTGTGCAGCTTACGAAATAAAATGTGTAACGCAGAAGTGCCCGAGAAGATCCGGACTCAAGGAAAACTCTGGGTTTTGAGAGTTCCATTGTCCCCAGTTTTTTATTCTGCCTATTTCTGAAGCTGTTTATTCAGGGTCGCCCCCCCCCTCTAGTGCCGCGGCTCTCCTTTCCATCAACGCGTCTGAGAAACCCGTGCATCACCATTGACGTCCATCTGCCCCTTGCTACTGAAAGAACCCTACCAGTTTTTCTGTCAGTGTCACCGCATCATTCTGTCATCTCCTCTTTCTTTCTTGTTCGTTGAGGGCCCCGTGTTTTCCAGTCTAGTGAAAGGGCAGGAGGCATTTGGAAGAGCGGGGATGCTTTGGCTGCAATGATGTGGCGAGGGGGCTGCAGTCCATGTCTACCAAGGATGGTAGAAGTCCTGCCACATGCGGGGACGTCCCTTGGAAGGAGGAAGTGTCTGGTGCAAAATGCCCCTAGCGCCCCAGGGGTCAAGAGTGAAGGACTCTCTTGTGCAGGACACCTGCTGAACACCTCCTTGCCAGTCTGTGCACTTCGGCCTCGCCCTTCACCATTGCTTTCCGCACATCATCACAAGAGATGCTGGACTGCCAGGTTAGTCTTCCAAAAGGAATTTTCTAGCCATTCCAAACTCCTGCTCACAGACCTGTAATGTCTCTTCATTACTTATCAGAGCAGATAAAATCCACTCTGTCATCCAAACAGACTTCCCAACCTAATCCAGCTTTCAAACCCAATGCCTTCTGCTTTTCTTCACCCACCCGAAGCTTCAATAAATCCAAAATCTGTTTCCCCAAAACCTTCTGCCGCTTTAAATCCTACCTGTTCTTCAGTATCAACCTTCAAGCTGCTTCTTCCATAAGACTCTTCCTGACCCTGAAGACGGGAGTCATTTCTGAAGTTCCTTCCCCTTGACCTGCAGTCCTCACCACGCCCCCGCTTCTGTGGTGAAGGGCTGTTCATGTCCCCCGCCGCACCCAGCAGGGTCCTCTAACTCACTGTGATTTCAAAAATTAAAGAACAGATGTAAAAACCAAGTTAACACTATGAACAGGCATAAAGCGTGAAGCCAGACTTTCTGGCTTGAGTCCTCTCTGTACCCCAGCTTCCTCATCCATGAAATGAGGCGGGTGATATGCCTGACTCATAAGGCTGTTAAGAGGTAAAAGGAATAGCTCAGAGGAGTGTGGGCACTTAGGAAGCACTCAGTGTTTACTCTGATATCTGTTCACAAAACAGGAAACGTGTTAGGCGGCGTGCTAGGGTGTGGCTCTTATTTCGACAGAAATCACCTCTCGCTGAATTGCCTCCTCATTCAGTCGGCTCCCCTGGGCCTGTCAGTTCAATACAAGCTCTGCAGTTGTGTAAATGGAAGTAACAGTGTCCTTTTCCATGACCTTTCACGTCCCTCTACGTCAGTTCCAGGGCCAAACACCCTGAAACCCGCTCCTTGACCTGTAAATCGGTTCCCATGTGGTGACTAGCTGTTTCCAGGACAAAGTGAAATGTCCCGCAGCTTCCCCAGAGTCCTCCCTTCTCTGATCCCCCACTCCCACTCTGAAATTAATATAAGTGACAACCTGTGGAATCCCACCTACTATTCCTGCTTTCCGTGGGCTTCCTCCTGGCAGCTTTGCCTCTGGACCGCTCTTTGCTGCTTAGATCGAGACTGTCCAAAAGGAAAAAGACAAATGCGTGCTCAGGGCATCCGAGTCTAGCAGGACTAGATGCAGAGCCTGGAGACAATATACATTTATTTGCAACATAATATGGTGCAAACAATTATAGATGTCACTTGAGATTTACCACCCATGGTCATCACCAGCCTGGTAATTTGGTCTTCCCAACTCCTTTCCTGGGTTTAGGAAAATGTCATGTTTCCCTCCATGTTGCGATACGAAATTGACAATATACTGTCTGTGTGACCTTGAGCGTGGCTTCTAAACTCCCTGGGCGCCAGATATCTGGAATGGGACTCTTAATGCTGACCTCGCAGGTGTGTTGTGTTCAGAAGGTAACACTTGTAGAGCACTGGCCGTGTGCAAGAATCCTCTCTTTGGTCCTCACAGCAACCCAATGAATGAGGCCCAAGTGTTTTCACCAATATTTCATGCTAGGAAAGTTAGGAAACTACAAAAGATCACACAATTAGCCCAAATGCAGAACTTTAATTGTACCCTGCATTTCTGAAGGTTATAGAAAAATGTAGGGAAGACACCTGTTATGTTGTTATATCAATTGTCTATTGCCACGATAAATGCTAAATAGCAAACAATCCCAACACCTCAGTAAACATTTGTTTTTGTTCACGAGTCTGTAGCTCAGCTGGGAAGTTCTGCCGATCTGGGCTGAGCTTAGCTGATCTCAGCTTGGCTGGTCATGAATCTGCTGGAGTGTTGGCTGAGGGCTGGCCACTCTGGGATGGCCTTGGCCGGGTCACCCGGCTCTGTTTCACATGTTCTGTCTTGCTGCAGCAGGCTGGCCCAGCTTTATTCTCAAGGCAGAGACAGGGTCCGAGAGAGGGCGCTGGAACAAGCCAGGACTCTTGAGAACTGCACACCACCACCCACTGCATTTTATTGGCCAAAGGCTCAAACACAGTCCTGATTCAAGAGCCGGGGAAATGCCGGGTTGGCCAAAAATTCTATTTAGTTTTTTTCCATAAAATAAAAGACACATTTTTCATTTCCACCAGTAACTTCATTGATTTGGATATTTTGAGTATGTCGGCTACCTCCTGCTATTGGCTTCCAGTGGGTAGAGGCCAAGGGTGCTGCTAAACACCTTCCAATGCTTAAGACAGCCCCACAACAAAGAATTATTTGACCAAATATCAATAGTACCGAGAAACTTTGCAAACCACTCTAGACACATTCAATCAGTCATAGCACCTTCCCCATGCACTGCATAAATCTTTTCTTTGTGTTTCTGTTGTGTTTTTACCTTTCTTGAAACAAGAAAGCATAACATGCCAAAAATGTTGGGTATTTTCTTCTATCTTCAAGATTAAAATGACTGCACAAAAATTCACTAATTTTGATGGGAGTTTTTTCATTTTTTTTTTAAATGCACACTAATACAACAGCTGTCATAATACAATCTTACGGAATTGTTTGGAATGAAGTTAAAGACTACTAAGCACTACTAGAGCCCTCGTATGGACAAAACTAGATGAGCTTTTTGGCCAGCCCAATATAGTCCACTGCCTGATGAGAGGAGCTGCCAAGTCCCATTGTAAAGAGCATGGGCGAGAGCATGGGGGGCCACCAGGGGCCCGTGGTCAATGCACATCAGCTGTTATTGTCTCCATTAGGTACACATTCTATCATGCAGAGGAGGAGGTGGTAGGAACTTAAGAGAGATACAAACCAAACCCTAAACAACTTTAAGGAGGAGGAGTGATTACCTCCATGAGCCAATTGGGAAAAATGATGACCAATGCTGTTTTGTACTCCTCCATTTCTATTATTCTATAATATAATAAATTCATCTACCTGGGAACACTATTATGTTCTATATGTGTTATAACACAAGAGCTTGACAAAGTAAAACATGAAGTTATATGGAGGACGAAATGCAACAAGAGAAATGTAAGGCTGGTTTTTATTTATAGCTCATCAAAAGAACTTCCAAAAGTGTCATAGATGGAACTTTCACCCCCTTTTTCAGTAGAGCAGAGCTGTGTTTTACATGCTTAGAATCAGCCTCTCCTTCTGAGGATGGGCAAGTAAAAGCAGCCATGTGAAAGAATCAGGCATGTAGAATAAAAGAAATTATAAGGGGAAAGCTTGTGTAGTGTTCAAGGTGCTCCCATGCTAAACCCGAGGTATTTAAAAATTGTAAGCAAATGAAAACATCTTGTGAGGAATGGGCTGTACATGTGACAAAAGGGTGATTGATTTTTTCACCACCAGTGGGTCAAGTAGTGAAAAGCCTCATGTTGTAGCATCTTTCTAACTCCCCGTGTTGTCTGAGGACCTGTGCATCTGTGTCACCTGGGAGCGAGTTAGAAACGCCTGCTCTCCAGCCGCACCCCAGACCTCCTGGAGCAGAAGCTGCATTTAGCCAGGTGTCCCGGTGATTCCGGTGATTCCCGCGGACACTCAAGGTTGAGAACTGCTGTAACAATATCGTACTGCGTTTTGGAGGCAGGAAATCCTAGCCTTACTCCTGGGGCAAGCCAGCTTTCCAAGCCTTGGTTTCTTTATAACAATACCCATCTCTATCACAGTTTGTGATGGCGAGGGCTAACTGAGCTAATGTCACTGCAGTGAGGTACAGATATGAGGTGAGAGGCAGGTGCTTGGGTCTGATGTTCACTCAGCCTTGGTATGAAATGCGGCAGTTGGGCACGCAAGCCAGCATATCGGGAAGCAGATTCTCACTTGCATTGGGTTCTCCTCCCACATACAAATGAGGCCTTCTCAGCCTGGCTGTTTATTGGGATCATCTGGGAAATTATTTAAATTACCGATGCCCACGCCCCCCCAGCTGAGATTCAGGTTATCTGCCTGGGGCAGGGGCCGCATGCTGGGATTGTTTAAAGCTCCAGGGGCAGTTTCAGTGAGCAGCAGAGCCTAAGAACTCCTGGCGGCAGGATTTGAGGGGCTGGGGCTCAGGAAGTGGCGCTCAGCTCTGTCTTCTGTCCCCTAACACAGTGTTCCACCACGTGCGGGCTGGGGGCCTACTGGCGACGTGTGGAGTGCAGCACCCAGGTGGACGCCGACTGTGCAGCCATTCAGAGGCCTGACCCCGCCAAGAGATGCCACCTCCGCCCCTGCGCCGGCTGGAGAGTGGGCAACTGGAGCAAGGTAACTTCCCAGGCTCAGTGGTGGGGGAGGGGGGTAAGCAAGGTAGCTTCTCGGACTCAGCTGTGTGTAGGGGGTGGGGGAATCTTTTATAAGCATTTGCTAAAAAAGTAGGTTTCTCGCCTCCCTTCTTACCTCCCTAATGCCTAACTTCTTTAATAAAATAGCGGGTGAGTAAATCATAGGCATTACCATAGACGTACTACTCTTGTGTACAATGGTCTTAGAACAAGTACACACTTTTTCTTAACTCACATGTTCTTATGGGTCCTTTCCCTTGCCAGATAAACTGGGAGAGGGGGGAGGTAAATTTGCATAATTAATTGCTTGTCCAGCATGCAATACTATTTCTAAATTACTTAAATTTAGCATTAGAATTAATAATTATACATTATCATGTGTATAATTAAATCATGGCTCAGCAGCTGCTCACAAAGCAAGTATTACATCGAATCTGCCTGACTTAGAATAAAGGGAAAGCTAAGCCATAAAGAAGAATTTGGTCTTTAAAAGGATATTTCCTGTACCGATCTTTTTCTGTGATTTTTATTGTCCTTGCTAATTGGGTCCTGGTTTGTCATTTTATTGCACTGTCTGGAAGTTCTTGTAGAGGCCGCATCGGGTTTGAGGATTAGCTCGCCTCGGAGCTGTGGGGCACTCACCAGGCCCAGGCGGCCTGTCCCGAGGACGGGGCTGAGCCAGCCCCTGGGGGATTACAGCCCCAGACTGTAACACGCGGGGCCGTGGAGGGCTGAGAGCCGCCTGGCAGGAGCCGGCCCAGAGCTGGGAGCACACATGCGCCTGTTTGCCAAGCACGCCCAACCCTAGGATGCCCGTCGGCCCTGTCCTCTCTGGGGAGCCAGCCTCCCTCACAGCCTTGACTCAGAAGGGAGAGCAGAGCCCCCCCAGAGGTTTGGCGAGGCTGGAGTCCTCGTCTAGTGGAGAGCTCACGTCCCTCGACGAGCCGCGCTCCCTTGGCCGGTGTCTCCCTGGACACATCTGGTTCCGCTGGCGACCTTACCTGGCAGACAGGAGTGTGTGATGCCGTGTATCTGCTCTAGGCTGCTTTTCCCAGAGCGAGGCTCTGATCTTTGGGAGGAGAGGAGGACTGGGACGACTCCCCGAGAAAATTGCCGGGCTTTTCTTTGCACCGCCCCCGCCACCCACCCCCAAACCTCCCTTTCTCTGTTTGCCTAACATTGTTCTTTCAAGGATGAATGCTGGCTCTTGTTTCTCTCTCTGCCAAAGCATAACAAACACAGGGGCCAACAAGGACTAAATGCTTGGCTATAAATTCTCTTCAGTATCCAGAAATCGCCAGAAACATCTTCTATCTCTGAGCAAGTCCTAACGGCCCACTTTCCCATCACTGGGACTAATTCTTTCCATGGAAATGACATGGCTTGTAAAAAGGGCAGATGAGTGAAATAGCTCACACTTCACGGAGGTTGCTTCAGTTAAAATCCTAGGAATTCTAGCTGGTGTAAAACTCAGAGAGAGAGGCCTGGAAGCCCTCCTCTGGGGCCTGACTGCCTGCTCTGCCCGTGCATCCCTTCCCTGGGTCTCTGGGTCTCCTCTCCCTTGTGGCTGGGAGGGTGGCAGGTAGTATTAACCCCTACAGTACTCCTAGTGGTTCTGCAGAAGATGTGAGATGCATCAACTTCTACGAGAATGTGGTAACCACCACAGCTGAAATCTAATCCTCAGAGTTACCCAGTCCTATCAGTAAAGAAAATGTCTCTTTTTTCAGGATAATAGATACACCTTATGTCAGGGATACTGTTTAACTACTGATAGTCAATGAGACTATCATTGTTTGATTTTTCTGACTATCATTATGGATATTACCTGCATAACTCTTTTTTCCCTGGAAATGTTAGTTTAGATTTTATCTCACATTTTGATAATGAAGAGAGACTGTTTTGACTCCTATGTTATTAACCACACCATAAGGATGTCTGAAGAGCAGATTATGCATAGGAAAGATTCGAGGGCCTTCTTAGTTTCACTGTTCCGTCAAGACAAGTAAGCTCACTCAGAGGCAAACCTCCAAAACCTAGAGTAGGAAAGTGGACCCCTGGTTTTGCCTTTAAATATCCAGCAGGTTCTGCTAAGTTGACAAGTTTGCCTTTAAAAAATTTTTTTTTCTAATCCTCATGTTCTAATCTTTCACTGATGAGAGAGAAATATCAATAGGAGAAAGAAACATTAATCCGTTGCCTCCTGTACATGCCCTGATCAGGGATTGAACCCACAACCTTTTGGTTTACGGGACAATGCTCCAACCAACTAAGCTTCCCAGGCAGGGCATGGGTTTGCCTTTTCACAGGTACTTTCCTTGAGGGGAGAATTCTAGTTTTTGCCTTGAACCTTCTGCATTATCCCACCAATCTCTGCTTAAGATCCAGAGAAACTTTACTTCTCAAAGGACTGCAGGGCATGCTGCAGCCTCACCTGAGCCTGCAGGGAACTCTCCGGTAACTCTCCTCTGCTGTCTGAATTGCGGTTGTTTTACTGGCTTGTTCTCTATCACCACTCACGTCCTTGCTGAAAAGCCTGTTACAACTGTGGACATATTCTCATATGTGACAGTAGAATGAGACTTCACATTTGCATCTCCAGCTTTACAATGTGTAGACGCAGTTTTTTCAGAATGACTTGCTCCATCTTGATGCCTTAATCTGTCTGGAACCAACTCAAGGTCGTAGTTGTCAGGTTTTTCCCAGAGACATACTTGGGAAGAAGTAGTTCTGCGGGACTGAATACTAGAAGCAGTGCTGGGCTGGGGATCAGAAACATCTGGGTCGCCCCACCCCCTCACTCGGTCACAGACCAGCATGTGACACTGGTCCACTCATCTAACCTCTTAGGAGCTTTAGTTTACTCACCTCTGAAAAATGAAGTGGAGAATATTGCCTCTACTTACCTCATAGAGTTGTTAAAAGGATCCAAGGAGAGAATGTGCAACAACTTTGTAAGTGGTAAAGATTGTTCAAATGAAACCCTGGGCAAACTGAGTTCTATGTAAAGGTTCGGACTGGCTCTTATGTGTTTACTAACCTCTGGCTTCCAGGAGCAGAAGGCCTGTGGGCAGGTGACAGTGGAGTAAGTCCTGTCCACCGAGTGACTGGCTCAAGCAGGCGTCCTCCCCAGTCCTAAGAAGATAAGGTGCTCAAAGTGTCTATGAGCTTTGAAGGACTTGACCTACCATAGGCCCTGGCACTTGCCAGATAGCGCCATGAGCCCAACATTATGCAGGAGCATTAGATAAGGAATTTAATTTGGATCTAATACAGAACATTCTTTATAATTCCCGCTGAGACAAAAAAGCTTGGAGTGTTCACGTCACTCACACCTGATCACACACCTAGTCCTAAATACTGTTTCAAGAAACCGTCACCTGGGAGATGAGTCATTAATTTAATTACAGCTTTTCACAAACAAAGGAAACACTACATGATAAATACGTGCATTGATTGTAAGACACGTGGCAATTCAGAATATTAAAATTTGTATGAGGAAAAAAACGTGAGTCTTGTGATGAAAAGTGCAATAAGTGACAGACGAGCTTGAAAAGCCCTCAGTCAGGTTTGACGCCCAAGCTGCGTGTCAGTCACAGCTCCCACGCCTCCTGACGGAACGTTCCCCCTGCACCTTCTCAAGTTTTGTAAACCAGTGACTTGACAATCCCTTTATTATCTTTCTGAGAATGAGCTCTGCCCTTTTCGTAGTTAAATCTAAGAGATCTTGACTATTTCTGAAATGAATTAGAAATACATTTACATTTTTCTGTTGGAATGTTCTGTTTTCCCACCTCGGTAATGATGCAATTTTATTTTAGCAGTAGTTGACTTTATTATCTGTAGCTTTGCTGGAAAATAGAGAAAGTAGTAGCTTTTCCTTATGACCTTGGGTTTCCTATGTTTGTTAATATATTTGCACATATTGCTAGTCTTTCTGTTTGATTCTATTTCTTGTCTCTGTGTTTATTAGTTTTTACAGATTGTCATTGGCAGTGCTACACTGTTTTAGATGTGGATTTTTACAAATGAACTGAATGGGGAAAGAGCCACTGTCTTGCTGAATACAACCAGTCCCCAATTTTTATATATAACATGTTCCCAAGAACAGAAAGACCAATATGCAAAAGTCAAAACACAGAATTGCAGGTTATAGGGGAGCTTCTGTCCCCAGAAAGCTCAAGTTGAGCCCCAGGAAGGTGGATCCTATACCGAAAAGCACTGCATTTATTACCCTCTTGGTATAATGTGTTGTATGCCTAAACTATCATCCTGTCTTGACAGCCCTGAGGGTTTCAGATTAAGGGATCCCCGAAGAGGAATGCCGAGTGAGTAGAAGCCTTTGGGACCACAGGAAGCATAAAGCCAAGAACACCCTAGTTGAGGGCTGATGTCCAGACCAGGGGGCCGCCCCATGGTGGCTCCCACTGCTCTCTGTCGTTGTCCAACCCGCCTCCGCTCTAGCGCTCGACCAACCCGCTGCTCCTGAACGAGCTGGTCATTTCTCAGCACCGTGCTCCTGGGCCTGCCATTCTGTCCACCTTGAATGTCTCCCACCCTATTTTGCCAGCTGAGTGAGCATCTTCTCATATGATTCAGTTCCAGCTTGTTTCCTTTATTCAAGCCTTTCCTGACCCCTGCAGGGAAATGGAACACCTCCTCCTTCATGCCCTGACTAGATCATGGGCAACTTATGGCAAAGACTCTTTATTCCTTCTACTCATTTATGGCACTTGTCCCTGCTGCTAGATTGGGATTCAGAGCCTGGAACGCAGAAGTGCCCAGCAACTGGGAGGAAGGGAAGTGGGGGTGGGGGGAACAGATGGAAGGACAAATTTTGATGCTGTTCAACACAGAATTTTTGGAATGCATTATTTGATCTTAAGGGCCGTAGGAATCTGTGTAGCATAAGGAAAGCAGCAGAAAAGAATTCTTTCTGTATCCGGGCTTAATATTTGGCATGCGACTTGGAGAGCAAGAAAGTATTCTGAAATCAAAACAGCACAAGTCTAGGGATCCCATACACTGACGCCACTCCCAAATGTCGGGACAGTTTAGCTGTCTGGTTTACCCTCCTCCTAATACCAATGGAGAAACAGAGGCTTAGGGAAGTGATTAGTCCACTGTTATGCAGCCAGTTGGTGTCAGGGTCATAACTGCAGGTAGTCCCCTCCTCTCCCAACCCGATTTTCCTTAACGTCACTATAATCTTCTGAACACGCTGTGTGCATTTCATACGTCAAATACAACACAAGGGAGAAATCATTGTGATTTCAATTTATCTCTGCCAGTGGCTGCAGTCCACTAAGGGTATTTTCATTCTACCTCAGTCTGGTGTGCAGACTCTATCTGTTAAACAAACGGATGCAGCGCCTGGAAAAATTTTAGGCTTGGGCACAGCTGGGCATGAGCCAGCCTTTCTGCTCTCATTAGTCTGGGTCCTGCCCACAGTCTGGTCCACAGGTTTGGAAACATGAATGCAAATGACCCTCCTGTAAGGCAGTAAGAAAAGGCATATAATAATTGGCCTTCCACACACAAAGGGAAAACAGTGTTAGGAGTGGAGTGATTTAATATCCTACCCCTGCCCTTCTGCTTACTGAATCAGAGGAACTTTTGAAAGTGGAATAGAAAAGTCATAGCTTTAGTGAGCGTCTTCCCTTATTATTTAGTGTTCAGCATACTAACAAACTTCATTTTTCTTTGAATGGGGATCCCCTCTTTGACAAAAGGGTAATACCATTTTGAAAATTCTATTGAGGAATGTCAGATTACAGAAAATAAAACCCCCTTTTACACCTATGTCTTACGAAATTTCCTCTTCCTAATAAAGAGTTTTCTTGTTTGAAACATGTGGTATTTCCCAGAAGTCTGTTTTGTCAGACAAATGGCTGCTTTGTGTGGAAATGATTAGCCTACTTCCTCATTTCTTTTGTGGCTGATTTTAAGTTGGCAGTTACTCTTTTCTCTGTGTACTTACAGCGTGGCAGGAAAATGAAGTCTCTAATGTGTTTGGGTGGGGCGGGGGCTGTCTTTCAAGTGTTGCTTATTTCTGAGAAGCTCCCCACACGGGTTTATGGATGCATTAGAGCATCAGTCTACCCCCTTATCTCCCAGGCCCAGACCTTTCCTCGCTGCGCCCCAAGGTTTGAAGTCAGGTGGTTTGGTGCATTCTTGCCCGGTGGCAGAAGAAGAGAGGTGGTTTGCGATCTACCTCTACTGAAAGGTTATGAGGGATTTTCTCTTCCCACCTACAACCCTACAATTATGACTAGTCCACCGCGGCCAGAAAGGGAGCGCGATTTTTTACTCAGTTGAGAGGAGGCCCCATGAAATCATCCCTTGCAGCCATGGACACACTTTTGGGAGGGGAGCATTTTCTCAGCCAAGAAGGCAATGAAGTGATAGATGAAAGGGCTGAGAGGGTAGGGAAAGATGTCCTTCATCCCTGTGGTTTCCGCAGACCCCTGTAGCCCCCCGAGAGCCCTGTGGCTGCCCTTTCCTCGGAGTTCATACATTCATTCGGAAGGATTGTATGAGGTTTGTATGGATCCTCTCTGCTGTGCCTGGCACTGTGCCAAGTGCTCAGGACATCTTGGTGACCAGGGCAGAGAGGGTTCCAACTTTGCGGCAGTGAGAGTCTGGTAGGAGGACGGACACAATAAATCAGTTTGTTCTATATTTCCTGTGCCTCTGATAGAAGCTGGAAGGATCTGAGGTAAATAAGAGGGAGGGCTTCCTTAGGGTAAGGTATTCAAGGAAGGCTTCTCTGAGGCGGTGACATTGAAGCCGAGGCCTAAAAGAAGAGCAGTGGCTGGTGGGTAATGTGAAGGAGGGACATTCAGGACATAAGGACCACAAGGACATATTGTTAACTCAAGAGGAATCTGGGGGAGAAGGGCTGAGAAGCATAGGGGTCTGCCTGTGCCTCAGCAGCCTCAGGTCCCCACCTTAGTGTGGGCAGTGACCAGGCAGGCCAAGCCAGGACTGGCCGTGAGAGACCAGGATGCGGCAGCAGGACAAGCTGGAGGGCCGGCAGGTAGTAACATTCTAAACCGACTGGAGACCAAGTCTTAGAGGTTCAAGTGATGATCAGATGACATTGACTAGGCAGGGGTTGGAGTTACATCCAACGTCTAAAAGGTCAGACAGCGAACAAGAGAAGTACTCCAGAATAGGCCACGTAAGCTCTGCTTTTAGGGGACGGTGGCTTGTCCATGTTTATTATGATCTGAAGGCAGTTAGCAGCCTGCAGCTGAACTGTGCCCTTTTCTGAGACAGAGCAGGTGAAGGAGCTGCTCCCCAGAGGTGGGCACGTGGGAAGAGGGGGACTGAGGAGGGCCTCTGTCACGGCTTTCAGGGGCACATGCTGAGAAAACTGATGGCACCTGTATGAGGGGGGATGGTGCTGGGGATAAGGACAGGGTTTGCTCAGTCTGGTGAGACAAACCACTGAGCATTTATTCAATTCATGTCTGTTAGCATAGACCCTTTGCTTGAGAAAGTGTAGCGTATCTTGCGTTCAGAGTCACTGAGAAACACGTTTGTGGCAGGATCCGGAGGGGGTGATAGATGGGGCTTGGCAAGGAGGGCCCCTTGCGGGCAGTCCGCTCACCTGGAATGAACACAGACGTCAGGGGGAACGCTGCCCGCTGAGACAGATACTGTGCCAGCAGGGACCCCAACCCCAATGTCTATAGTCTTCACGACAGCCCCGGGCAGTGGCAGTTATGACCCCACATTACCAGCAAGACATCTGAGCCTCAGAATGTGCTGTGTCTGTGACTTGCCCAAGCACCCATGACGAGCGAGGGAAGAACAGACCGTCTGCCTGGTTCCATCGGACAGCAGACCCTCACTCTCCCACGCCTGCATTTTTGACACTCAGGAGCCCCGTCTCGGAGCAGCTGGAGTGACCCCTTCTCTGCAGCCTGTGAGGGAAAACACTTCCCTTGAAGGAGAGCTAAGCCTCTTCCTGACTGCAAGCCGGGCGCCCCAGGGCTTTGGGAATCCTCAGGGGACTCAGGTCTCCGCTTTTCTCTTGCCCTCCACGCAGTGCTCCAGGAACTGCAGCGGCGGCTTCCAGATCCGGGAAGTGCAGTGTGTGGACAGCCGGGACCAGCAGAGCCTGAGGCCATTTCACTGCCAGTTCCTGGCTGGCCTTCCTCCTCCGATGAGCAAGCGCTGTCACCCGGAGCCCTGCGAGGACTGGCAGGTGGAGCCCTGGAGCCAGGTACAGCCCGCAGCCCACCGTCCGGCAGCCAGACCAGCGTGAATGTCTGCCTGTGGCACCATGCGAGTGTAGGAGGAGTCAGGGGAGAGCTCGCCTGCATCCTGCCAGTGACTGGCCTCTACTGAGCGACCCAGCACTGCGCAGGGGAGGCTGACCTGGTCAACAACTTGAAGACTACGTTGTGTGGTTTTCACTATGACAAGTCAGTGTTTTCATTAGAACTAGTCTCCCCGGGCATATGCATGGGAGTTGGCGTCCCTGCTGGACCACTTTGATGTGAACCAGTTAGATGAGAGCCTCCCGTGCCTCTTCCAGCCTTCTGTAATCAGGCTGGGGAAACAGATCCTCTTCACACACAGTGTAGTATAGGTTTCACCTCTCAGTTGAAGGCCCAGACCATTGCACAAATAAAAAGCGGGGGGTGTGTGTGTGTGTGTGTGTGTGTGTGTTTGTCCAGGTCCATGTCCTCTGTTCTGTGAGGGCCCAGACTCTGCTGGGTCATTGTCCTACTTCAACACATGGAAACAAGGTTACTGTTCCTTGGTGAAGTATGATGATCTAATTTGCCAATAGGCAAATACCTCAGTAGATAAAACTACTACTCCCAGATACATCCATACATGGTGAAAAAAAGGAGAAAAAAAGAAGCCAGCATATTGTTCCGTGAGCTAAGCATTTTACCTGCAATCCTTGGTTTAATTCTCACAACAGCATGGATAGTAGGCATTATTAATTCCATTTTATTGGTGAAGATAGACTCAGAGATTAAGAAGCCTACATGAGTTCATGCAACTAGAAAATAAATTGGTGGAGTATTAATTCAAGCCGAAGGCAGATTTCAATGCCTGTACTCTTTCTACTGTAGATCTTAACCCAACAGGTATTGATCAAGGAATGGACTGAGGAAAAAGAATAAATTAAGAACTATTTTGGAGGAAACTACTATGGGCCAGGGAAGGGAAGGGAAGGTAGAGAACCACAACTGCAGGATGTAAAGTTTGGGTCAAACTATGGAAGATTGATCCCCCTAAAGCTACTTATTGTCTACTGGGTCAAGCTGCCATGCTGATTTCTAAACTTCTGTCCCTGCAGCCAGCACTGTCCCCTCTTTCTTCTCCCTCCTGCCCAGCTCTGGAGGACAGGAAGTGCCACTAGTCCCACCTGCTGAGCTTAGGCCTCCAAGTTCTCACGTTTGAGGAGCCTGTTGATGGCTTTCAGAACCCTGGAGTTCGCAGAGGAGCTTAGATTACCGTGTCAGAGAAATGACATTTTCAGGTTCTCAAAGATGAGCAATTATGGTTATGAAAAAATGTATTCTTTGCTACTTCCTCAGTAGCTCTTGTGAGCCCCAAACACAAGTCTGTTCCTAGAACACTGGTCCCTGAAGGCCTCCTGCCACCCTCCTTTGTAAACTTCTCTGTCCTGAGCAAACCACAAAGTTGAAAGTTTTCTCCCTGAGGCTCTGAGCAGTGGAGATGGAAACTGCAAATGCCAATTGGGTATATCCCTGGGACTGACGAGAGACTAACTTGTCAGGGTGCTTTCCCTGAGCCGCCATGATGCTGCTCTGTCTGAACACAGCATCTAATGCCACATGGGGATGCGCTGGACCCCTCCGGTGCATGCAGCCAGCCCAGGCTGCTTGCATGAAAGATGCATTTCAGTGGGAATGGCTCTGCTCCAGCGGGGCGCACACTTAGCATGCCTCAGCATCACCTGGAGGGTTTGTCACCACGCAGATGTCTGGACTGTACCCCTAGAGTCTCCTATTTAGAGGTATGGGTGGGGCTTTAAAATTTGCATTTCTAACAATACCTAGAAGCTGCTGAAGCTGTGGCTCTGGGAACCACACTTCAAGGATCACTGGTTCATATCTTCTTTATCCCTTTTTCCTGGAGAGTACTCACCAGGTGGTCCTGAATCTATATGCACACCTGTAGGTATGCACAAGGATCCCAACTGTGGGATCCCCTCTCCTCTCCTCATATAATTAAAAACAGAGTGAATAAATGGGAAAAAGTCCAGCTGACTCTCAAAGTTGGAATATTGTGAAAGCAACAGGTTAGTTCTTTTACTGAGCATAAAGGGTTAATTGTACATAATTTCCATTTTCTGTGGTACCATCACGCACATAGTGCCTAATGTGATGGGCAAGATGTTGACAACCATACTTTATTTGTGATTGCTGTTACCATGCCCTAATTAAGATTTTTTTTTCAAAGTACTGAGCTTTTTCAAAGTACTCAAGGTGCTTTTCAAAGATTTTTGGTGAATTATTTTATTTCCTCCTAGAAACTTCAGGAAGATGAGACAATATTATAAAATTATTTCAGTGAGCAGAAACCTGATACATTTTAAAACTGTGTCCCTTCAGGAACCCAGCTTGTCATTTCAGATTTATTTTGTGAGCATCGCAGCCAGCGCATCAGAACCCTGAACAAACCTACCAGTTTCCCCATTCAGAATACAGACAAATTTAATTCTCAGCTTTATGTAGTAGGAAAGGAAGGCTGGATCCCATTTTAACAGATGAACAAAATTGTATTGCAAAGGCATGTGCTCCCCATTTCAGCTGTCAGAGCTAATCATAAAAAGGGCCCTATTTTACATTTTGGTTTCTAGACTCTGGTCCTGAAGGCAAAACACAGATACCAATGTCCATTCTGGGATGACAACTCATTTAGATTTTTGCCCAGAATTCCTTCTGTTTGACCTATTATTTGACATTGAACTCTTTGGCATCTTCTGCTTTTCCCTCCTCCACTTCTCAGAATTTCCCTTGTCAGTCTCCTCCCTTCTCTTTAATCCTGGTTCCCCACCGTTGTTTGAAATGACTGAGGGGTCACTGTAAGGAGGCCGTAACAGATGCTACAGATTCCAGTACAGATGCTAACATTCTCAATAACACTGGGCACCACAAACACAATGGTAACAGAATTCTTCCCTTATCGCTGGAGATGCCACCGTGTGCTTTTTATCTAACCTCGTCCCTGTCGTATGTCAGTGTTCCAGGTCCTGTGGAGGCGGAGTGCAGAGGAGGGCAGTGGCTTGTCCGAGCGGCCTCTGTGATGAGGCAAAGAGGCCCGTGTCCACTGCACCCTGCCACGGGCCCCCCTGCTGTCACTGGGCCACGGGGAACTGGAACCTGGTAAGAGTCAGTTAAATGCTGTTCAATGCAGTTTAGTCTTAAAAGATAAAGCATTTGTTTTCTTTTTTTTCCAAAAGAAATTTTTCTAGTCAATGAGCATGGAATATTTTTCCATTTTTCAATGTCTTATTTAATTTCTTTTAACAATGTCTTATAGTTTTCAGTATACAGGTTCTTCACCTCCTTTGTTAAGTTTATTCCTAGGTATTCTATTCTTTTTTTTTTATACTTATAAATGGGATTGCTTTCTTTGTCTTTCTGATCTTTTGTCGTTAGTATATAAAAGCACAAGTTTTTGTATGTTGATGTTGTATCCTGCAACTTTACTGTATTTGCTCATTGTTTCTAATTGTTTGTTTGTTTTGTGGAGACTTTAGGGTTTTCTATATATAGCATTATACCATCTGCTCATAGCAAAAGTTTTGCTTCTTCATTCCCAATTTACTCCTTCATTCCTTTACTTCTTTTTCTTGCCTAATTTCTCTGGCTAGGACTTCCAGTACTTTGTTGAATAACCATTGAGAGCTGCATCCTTGTCTTCTTTCTGCTCTTAGAGGAAAAGCTTTCAGGTTTACACCATCAAGGATGATATTAGCTGAGGGCTTATCATATATAGACTTTATTGTGTTGAGGTACTTTTCTTTAATGCTTTTCTTTATTTTTGAGCATCTTTATCTTAAATGGATGCTGTGTCATGTCAAATGCTTTTTATGTACCTATTGATATGATCATGTGATTATTATCTTTATTTTGCTAACATGGTGTATCACGTTGACTTGTGCATGTTGCACCATCCTTTCATTTGTGAAATGAATCCCACTTGATTGTGATATATGATCCTTTTAATGTATTGTATTTGATTTGCCAATATTTTGTTTAGGGTTTTATATCCATGTTTATCAGATATTGGTTACCTGTATTTTTCTTATGTGTTGTCATTGCCTGGTTTTTGTATCAGGGTAATGTTGGCTTTGAAAAATGAGTTGCAAGTATTCCCTCTTTTTCAAATTTTTGGGAGACGTTAATAGGGATTGGTATTGAATTTCCTTTGGATGTTTGGTAGACTTCACCAGCGAAGCCATCTGGTCCTAGGCTTTAGGGGGTTTTTTTGGAGGATTTTAATTTCTTTACTAGTGATCAGTCTTTTTAGGTTTTCAACTTCTTCATGATTCACTCTAAGAAGGTTGTAAATTTCTAAGAATTCTTCCCTGGCTGCTCTGGCTCAGTGGACTGAGTGCTGGCCTGCGAACCAGGGAGTCGCTGGTTTGATTCCGGGTTGGGGCACATGCCTGGGTTGCAGGCCAGGTCAGGCACTTGATGGGGGGCATGCGAGAGGCAACCACACATTGATAATGCTCTCCCTCTCCTTCTCCCTCCCTTCCCTTCTATTTAAAATAAATAAATAAAATCTTTTAAAAAAAATTTGTCCTTTTTCTTCTACGTCATGAAATCTGGTAGAATAAAGACTTTTCTAGTTCTCTTGCATAAACCTTTGTATTTCTACAGTCTCCATTCTAACTTTTCTTTCCTGTCTTATTTTATTTGAGTGTTCTCTCTTTTCTCCTTAGTGCGTCTAGCCAGAGGTTGTCAATTTTATTATTTCAAAGAGTCAGCTGTTGTTTCATTAATTTTTTCTATTTTTGTTCTCTATTTCATTTATTTCCACTCTCCTTTTTTTCATTTCTTTTCTTCTGCTGACTTTGGGCTTCATTTGTTCTTCTTTTTGCAGTTCCTTAGGTGTAATGTTAGATTATTCCCTTGGGATTTCTCTTGTTTCTTGAGGCAGGCCTGGAATGCTATTAACTTTCCTCATAGTACCTCTGTTGCTGTATCCCAAAAATTTTGATGTGTTGTATTTTTATTTTCATTTGGGTCTATGAATCTTCTGATCTCTTATTTCTTTGACACAATAGTTGTTCAGTAGCATGTTGTTTAATCTCCACATATTTGTGGTTCTCCAGCTTTATTCTTGAAGTTAATTTCTAGTTTCATATAGTTGTGGTTAGAAACTATGCTTGGAATGATTTCAGTCTTCTTAAATTTATTGTGACTAGTTTTGTGCACTTGAGAAGAATGTGTACTCTGTCATTTGGGGATGAAAGTTCTATAAATATTAATAAAGTTCATTTGGTCTAATGTGTCATTTAAGGCCCATATTTTCTTATTAACTTTCTATCTGGATGATCTACTCATTGGTGTACATAGGGTATCCAGATCCCCTGCTGTTGTTGTATTTTTGTCAGTTTTTTCTTTTGTTAGTAATTGCTTTATATACTTTGGTGCTCCCAGGTGTCACTTGGTACTTTTTTTTATCACGAAATCTATTTTGTTTAATATCAGCATGGCTACACCTTCTTTTCTCTGGATGCCATTTGACTGAAGTATTATCTTCCCTCTTTCACCCTTTGCCTATGTTTGTCTTTGGAGCTGAGATGAGGCTCCTGCAGGCAACATATAGTTGGGTCTTATTTTTTAATCTATCCTGCTACTCTGTGGGTTCAGTCTATTTAAATTTAAGGAGATTATTGATATATGAGGGCTTACTATAGCCATTTTACTTTTTGTATTCTAGCTGCTCTGTATCTCCATTCTTTCTTTTCCCTTGTGATTCTGGCTGCTATTTTAGTGTAGCAGTTTTCTATGATTTTTTTTTTCTTTCTGTCCTCTATTTTGTCTATCCTATGTTTTGTGCCTCAGCACTGGATTTTTGTTTTGTGGCTATCATTAGAATTGTTTCACATGTCTCATACAGGCAATAATCTCTTTTCTCCCATTTTTTGCATTTTTAAAAAGTAATTTTATTGTAATATAATATGCATACAATCATATTTACCCATTTTAAATATATTTGATGAATTTTGATAAATTTATAATACCATGTAACCAATGCCACAATCAACATATAAGACCTTTCCATTACCCCCAGAAGTTCTCATAATCCATCATAGTATGTCTTGTCTCCAGCCCCAAACCAGGCCTGAGGCAACCCCTGACTGAAGTTCTTTCACTATGGACCCTCTGAATGTTTTTTTAAATATGGCCTATTTTTCTCAACATAAAGATTTTTGAGATTCACCTGTGCTATGGGATGCATCAGTAATTTATTTTTTTCCCTGAGTAATATTCATAATTTAGCAATTATTCATTGTTGATGGACATTTCAGTTGTTTATAAATCGCTGACCTAGACCTTTTTTTCTGATTAAATCTTATTGTTATTCACCTGTACTTGTTCAGTCCTTTTATTCCTCCCCTTTCATGATTTTGCTGTCACAAATTATCATTTTATATTGTACATTTATTATCAAGTGACAGTAGTTATTTTTAGATGCCTGCCATTTTTTACCCCTTTAATCTTTGTCATAATTGTTTAATATCCTACTCTGAAGTAGATTTGCAGTTTCCTGCTTCTGTCAGTCATCTTAATACAAATTTTGTATACTCTATCTTTTTGTTTCCTGTAAAAGAGCTCCTTTCTTGTAATGCAGATCTTGTGGTGGTAAATTCTCCCAGCGTTTGTTTTTTTGGGAAAGCCTTTATTTCTCCATATCTTAAGGATAAGTTTGCTGGATATATTATCCTTGGTTGATGGTTCCTCTCCTTCCAAATTTTGACTCTCTTCACTCTCTTCTGCCTTGTAATCATTCTACTGAGAAACCAGTTCTAATCTAATGGGGTTTCTTTTGTGGGTTACAGTCTTATTTTCCCTGGCTGTCTTGAGAATTCTTTCTTTGTCATTAGTTTTTGACTATTTGGATAAAATGTCTTGGAGTAGGTCTTTTTGCATCGATATTATTAGGTGTTCTGTTACCTCCTATATCCTAAAATCCAGTTCTTTGCATAGGCTTGGGAAGTTCTAGGTTATTTCTCTGAGTAGGTTCTCTGTTCCCCACTCTCTCTCTTCCCCTTCTGGTATACACATTATCTTTATGTTGTTCTTTCTTATGGAGTCAGATAGTTCTTGTAGAGTTATTTTTAGCTCTTTGGTAGAGTTATTTTTTAACCCTTAGGTTTTTTTCTCCTTCCTCCTTGGTCACCTCTAAGTTTCTACTATAGAGCTCACTGATTCTCTCTTCCGTCTGGTGTGTTCTGTTTCCAGCGCTCTCTGTGGCATTCGTCATGTTATTTATTGAGTCCTTCAGCTCCGGAATTTGTTTGGTTCTTTTAAAAACATTTATTTTTCATTTACATTGGCATATAATATTATATTAGTGCCAGGCGTACAACATAGTAATTAGACATTTATGTAGCTTAGAAAGTGATCACCTCATTAAGTCTAGTTCCATTCTGACACCATACATAGTTATTATAACATTATTGACTATAATCCCTGTGCTGCACTTTATATCTCCATTACTATTTTTATAACTGCCAATTCGTACTTCTTATTCCCTTCACCCAGCTCTGTTGCCATCTGACAACCAGAAAATCAATTGTTCTCTGTATCAATGAGTTTCTTTCAGTTTTGTTTGTTCTTTTATTTTTATTTTTTTTAGATTCCACATATAAGGAACATCATATGGTATTTGTCTTTTTCTTTCTGACTTATTTCACTTAACACAATGTCCTCTACATACATCCATGTCATTGCAAGTGTCAAGATGTCCTTTTTTATGTCTGAGTGATGTTTCATTATATGTATGTATCACATATTCTTTACTTATTCATCCATTGATGGACACTTAGGTTACTTCCTTATCTTGGCTATTGTAAATAATGCTGCAATGAACATGGGGGTATAGGTTTCTTTTTGAATTAGTGTTTTGGATTTCTTCAGATAAAGACCAACTACCAAATGGGAGATGATATTCGTGAATGGTACATTCAATTAAGGGTTGATATCCAAAATATATAAGAAACTAGTGCAACTTAACAGCAAAAAAATCAAACAATCCAATTAAAAAATTGGCATATGACCTGAATATGGCGGGACTGTGAATTGTGCAGCCACGATGGAAAACAGTATGGAGAGTCCTCAAAATGTTAAAAATAGAGCTGCCATGCAATCCAGAAATTCTGCTTCTTGGTATTAATCCAAGAAAAACAAAAGCACTCGCCAGAAAAGAGATGCACATTGTGTTTGTTGCAGTATTACTAGTAATAGCGAAGATATGAAAGCAATGTAGATGTCCATTAATAAACTAATGGATAAAAATGTGATATATATCTACATATATACATACATATGTCTATATATATATAGACACAATGGAATGTTATTCAGCAATAAAGAGAACGGAATCTTGCCATTTTCCATAATATGGACAGACCTAGAGAGTATTATCCTAAATGAAATACCTTGGAGAAAGACAAAAGCCATGGTTTTACTTTTATATGGCATCTTAAAAAATAAATGAATAAACAAAACAAAATGGAAACAGGCCCATAATGGTTGGGTAGAGAATAAGCTAATGGTTGACAAAGGGGATGGAAATTTTAAAAAACTCTCTAAACCAAGAGAAACCTTGGAATAGGCACAGTTAGTGGGCATGAAAGGGCTCTTTTCACCAATGATTAAGTGAGTGTAACACACAGTAGTGTCTCCCTTCCCCCAGCTGAGCTCCGCAAAGGCAGAGGCCTGGCTCAGTCTGAAGAGAAAAACAAACACACACATAATAGCTCTCTTCCTGATCACATTATAATAAAGCCACATCTCAATAACTGCCACCCATGGAGCTTCCAGTCAGTCCATTGGTCCCTCATCTGAAATATAAATAGACGTAGTTATGGAAGCTATATAAAACGAGTATTCAGCTTCAGCCCCATTCCCTTTTGGGGCCCTCAGTTCTGCACAAAGATCCCTTATTTTTACTGGATTTAAAGGAGTGAAACTGAGCATTAAGAAGACTGTGCCTTCTCTCTAAAACCCCAAACTGACAGCATCGTCACCATTAACAAAACCCAAGCCAAAATTCATGTTTCCTACTTGACCTCCCAATTAAGTACAAAACTGATTTATGCAACTTCTTTATCACAAATCATTTTAATTGCCCATAAATGCACAGACAGTGACCTCTGTTTATTTTTGTGCTTAGCTTGGCATTCGCGCTTCTGTCTTAATTTGCCCTGCCCATAGGGCCTGCATGACTTCAGCACCCAGGACCAGCCAGCCTTGTTCCATTACACCCTTAGGAGCAGGAAAGGAAGTCAGTTGGTTTCTTATCTATCAACCTATTTTACATAAGGAGAGAGAGAGAGGGGTCAAGTGAATGATTCAGGGCAACATTCAGAGGTGGGGGGGAAAGCCCACATCTCCCGAGTCCTGGCCCAGTATGCTTCACCAAACCCTGGCTTGGTGCCTTTCCTTTGTTCATCTCCCGGTCCTCTCTTGCACACCTTCATTTACTCGGGACTAATTGAGTGGTTGTTTCTTACTCTGTTTTTTTCTTGTTCATATCCATGGAGAATTTGAGGGGAATTCACTGAATAAAATTACCTTCAGGTTTAATATCAGAAACCTCTGACTTCATAAAGCAAACATGAGGTTCCATGCTGATAACCTGTTCCAGGCTCCATGAAGAGAAGAATAAAATAAAACAGTGGATGTTAAGAAAATTTTGATATTTCTCCTCTTATCCCATATGGGAATTTTGTGGAAAACAGGATTTGCATGTAGTATTCTGAATTTACCAGTGGTGTTCCAGTGTGGGTATTTTTTTATCCACTGATCTGGGTGACCAATAATATTTTGAATGGCAGTGGACTCTTTTGGGTCTATTGATTTTTCCAGAATTTGCCATGCAGCAGTCTTTTGGCCATCAATCAATGAGTATTTGTGGACTGTCAAGCTGTGTTTAAGACTTACCCAATTGCAATGTAGGACAATAAAAGAAGAACTGGTTTCTGCTTTCTGGGAGATTTCAAATGTATACTAAATATGATGCTAAAAGTAAAAAAACTTGAAATAGAATATAAATCACAAGAATATCTGTGGTTCACAGTAGCCAATAGGTGGAAGCAACCCAAGTGTCCATCAGCAGATGGATGGATAAACAAAATGTGGTGTATACCTGCAATGGAATATAGTCCACCTTAAAAAAGAAATTCTGGCCCATATTATAACATGGAAAAACCTTGAAGACATTCTTCTAGTTGAAGTAAGTCACAAAGGGACAAATATTCCATGATTCCTCTTACATGAGGTATATATAACAGTCAGATTCAAAGAGGCAAAAAATAGAATGGTGCTTTGCAGAGCCCGGGGGCAGGGGTGGGTGGGTGGGAAATGAGACATTATTTAATGGGTACAGGGTTTCCATCTCAGAAGATGAAAACGTTCTAGAAGTGAGTGGTGGTAACAATTGCACAACAATACAAATGTGCTGAAGGCACTGAACTGTATACTTTAAAATGGCTCAAAAGTAAATTTTATGTTTTATATATTTTACCACAATATAAAGAATTTTTAAATGCCTACACATGGTAAACTCAGACACATTTTCTTACATCCCCAGGAATCATCTTGTCCCGAGCTGCTTTCACAGGCCAGCTGCCCGCAGGGGCCACACCGTGACCTGCCAGGGGAGCCTTGTCTGTTAGCATGGCTGGAGGCCACACACGGTCCAGCTAGGTCCATCCAAATCCTCTCTCTGTTCCGCCAGGGTCTGCCTCTCCCACTTCCCTTTTATCCTATTCTTAGCTTCCTTTGTAGCTCTGTTGCCTTTCCTCACATCTGTTTTCCAGCCCCAGATCAACACTAGTTCAGAGACACTGGTTACTGAGGCACCAGAGCCCAGATAGGACATTTTTTTTCTATTTTCCTTGTCATCCAACCTCTGTACACATTCTACAGAGAACCCAGTAGTAAATGAAGCCAAATTGGGTCCACACAATCTGTAACATAGCCTCTTCCTAAATTCACATCTCCAAGTGATAAGTGCCTTTATCCTGTGACTCCAGCGAGGTTTCTGATTGTTGAGACCCCTGCTTGGCCACAGCGGGTTGGCAGTGCTTTGCCGGAGTTCCTTGCTGATGCTGGGGAAGAATTCTGACTTTCCCTGTGCGTCCCTCTCTTCCAGTGCACTGCTTCCTGTGGAGGTGGCTTTCAGAAGAGGACTGTCCGCTGTGTTTCCTCAGAGGACAATAAAACCGATGATCAAGGCCAATGCCTGTGCGATCATGAACCCAGACCTCCCGAACTCCGAAAATGCAATCGGCAGGCCTGCAGGAAGAGAGCTGGTGAGTGAATCGCTTTGCTCAGGGGCAAGGGGAGCTTTCCACAAATTAGTGGTCCTGTACGACTCAGTTTCTGTGTGGTGTTAGTCCCCTTTCCTGAGCCAGAAGTCTTAATGCTCTTAATGCTGGAGGGGCCAGCCAGAGGCCCTGGGACGAAGCTGTCTGACCTGGTGAGGTTTGACTCTAATTCTCCGAGTTTTCCTAACATGCATTCACACTGATGAGACTCGCTTCTCAAGGGCACTTCAGAGATGCTCCAGCCTTTCTCAGAAACCCAATCAAGCACTGAATGACCCTCTCTATCAGTCTAGCACACCTGTCTTAGGTTCTGCAGAAACAGAATCTGAGGTGCAAATTTGTGTGCAAGGGACTCATTAAGAAAAAGCTCCTGAGAAGACCATTAAGGGAGTCGGGGAAACAAGACAGAAAAGAGAGGAAGCACAGCCAGGCTGCCATTTCCGGCACAGTCCTAGCTTCAGCCTGGCCCCGCAGGGGAGCTCCAGGGTGTGAATTATGTCTCAGTTGTCTGTTCCTGAAGCCAGGGAGCTGGACTGTGACACTCTTCAGCCATTGGCCAACAGCTACCCCAGGGGGAGTGAATTTGCAGGCCTTTAAGCCTCTCTACATGCAGAGATAAAGCAGCTTCAGGAGGCTGTGGGAAGTCTTCCAAAAGAGCATGAGTCTCTGGGTGTTAGAGGCTAAATAACGGAGACAGTGGGACTTCATGTGGGGATGAGGTGACACGTAAAAATGGACCAAGAAATCCAAGGAGGGAGATCTGAATGGTGGCACATGACTGTCATCCACTGTATTCAACTTTCACTTTCAAAAAGCATCCCTATTGAAATGCTATACGGTCACCTTAGCCATTTGCAGTGTGCTTAAATGCGGCCTGGAGAGGTTACATGGCATGTTTGTGATTGGATGTCGGGGCGATATCAGAGCCGGAACGCCAGCTCGGGTCCCTTTCCACGCTGCATATGCCGTAACTCCTCAGAGGTGGAAAGAACCCAGCTTTGGAATCACACAGCAGTGGGTTTGCTTCCCATAGCAGCCACTTTCTATCTGTGTGACCCTGCACGTGATTTGACTTTCTGAGCCTCAGTTTTCCCTTTGGGGAAAACTTAACAAAGGCTAAGGACCTGTAAACTGAGAACTACAGGACACTGAGTGAAATCAAAGAAGATACAAAGAAATGGAAAGATATTCAATGTTCATGGATTTATAAAATTAATATTGTTAAAAAGTCCATAATTCCCCAAGCAATATTCAGATTTAATGAAATCCCTAGGAAAATCCTAGTGGCATTTTTCACAGGAAAAAAAGCAAAAAATCCTCAAATTTGTATAGAACCACAAAAAAACCCTGCATTAGCCAAAGCAATCCTCGGAAAAAAAGAACAAAGTCAGAGGTATCATACTCCTTGACTTCAAACTAAACTGCAAAGCTACAATAATCAACAGTTTGGTGTTGATAGAAAACACACACCAGCTAATGGAACAGAATTGAGAGCCCTGAAATAAACCCACACATATATGGGCAACTAATGTTCAACTAAGTACCCAAAATCATACAGTGGAGAAAGGAAAGTCTCTCAGTAAATTGTGCTGGGAAAACTGGAAAGTCACATGCAAAAAAATAAAATTAGACTTCTACCTGACACCATACACAAAATTAACCCAAAATGTATTTAAGACTTGAATATAAGACCTAATCAAATAAAATACAGAGAAGAAAACAAACGCACTAAACTTAAGGACCTTGATCTTGAGGGGTTTTTGTGAACTTGACCTCAAAGGCAAGGGAAATAAAAGCAAAGATAAATGAACAGGACCATATCAAACTAAAAAGCAGAGCAAAAGAAACCAACAAAATGAAAAGGCAACCAAACAAATGGGAGAAGATACTTGGCAATGATATTTCCCATAAAACATAACTCACACCCTGGAGCTCCCCTGTGGGGCTGAGCTGGAGCTAGGACTGCGCAGGAGATGGCAGGCTGGCCTTGCTTCCTCTTCTCTGTCTTGCTTCCCCTACTCCCTTAATGGCCTTCCATGGGAGCTTTTTCTTAATGAGGCCCTGGTGCACAAATGTGCACCTCAGAGTTTATTTCTGTAGAACCTAAGATAACAGTGCTAGGTCAATATATCCAAAATACATAAAGAACTCATACAACTCAACAACCAAAAAATAAACAATCTGGTTAAAAATGTGCAGAGGACTAGGATAGACACTTATCCAAGGAGGACATACAAATGACCAACAGATACATGGAAAGATGCTCCGCATCACTAGTTACAAGGGAAATGAAAATCAAAATCACAATGAGGCGCCACCTCACATCTGTTAGAATGGTTGTTATCAATAAGGCAAGCGTTGGAGAGGACTCGGAGGAGAGGGAACCCTGGTGCACTGCTGGCGAAAATGTGAACTGGTGCAGCCTCCATGGAAACTGGTAGGGAGGCTCCTCAAAAAATTACTGATAGAGCTACCATGACTTAGCAGTCCCTCTTCTTGCTGTCTATCTAAAAAATCTGAAAATACTTATTTGTAAAGTTGTATGTACTCCTGTCTTCGTTGCAGAATTATTTACAACACCCAAGACATGGAAACAACCTAAGTGTCCTTTGACTAGCTATAAGGGAAATGAAATTTAAAACCACAATGAGATACTATGTCACATTTGTTAGAATGGCTATTATCAAAAGACAAGAAATAAGTAAAAGAATGTGGGAAAAATGGGACCCTCATACGCACCTGGTGGAAATGTAAATTGGTACAGCCACTATGGCAAACAGTATGGAGGTTTCTCAAAAAAAAAAAAAAAAAAGAAATTAAGAATAGGATTACCATATCACCCAGCAATCCCTCTTCCAATTATCTTCCAGAAAATTTTGGAAACAATTATTCGTAAAGATATAGGTACCTCTATATTCATGGCAGCATTATTTGTAATAACCAAGACATGGAAGCAACCAAAGTGTCCTTTGATGGATGAATGGATTAAAAAAAGAAAGAAAGAATGTGATGTATGTATATACAATGGAATACTACTAAGCCATAAAATAAGGGAATATTACTGTTTCCCACAACATGGATGGATCTTGAGAGTATTAAGCTAAGGGAAATAAGTCAGATGGAAAATGACAAGAACTCTATGATTTCACAAAGCAGCAAACAAAAAAGCTCATAGATACAGACAACCAAATGGTAGTTATCAGGAGTGAAAGGGAGTGGGAGGGAGGAATATATATGGTGACAACAGGAGACTAGACTTCGGGTGTTAGGCACACAGGAGAATATACAGATGCCGTATTATGAAGATGTGTACCTGAAATTTATGTTATTAGTAACCAATGTCACCTTAATAAATTTAATTTAAAAATAAAATGTTGAAGCAATAGAATCCTGTTGATTCTGTTTATATAAATAAAATCAACAATTATATAATTGAAGTAGTAACACAGTCCTGGTTGAACATGGCTAGTATTATCAGTTCTTTTAAAATTAGTTAACTGTCTTATTGCTGGATAGTATAATCTTCAATAATCAAAGCTGGGTTAACTGCATCCCTGATATTTTTTATCTTGAATTCAAACACTGAAGAGACAGGAACTAACAGTTGGCTGGCAGTGGATGTAAATAGCAATGAATTTCACTCACCAGCAATTATCAGAGCACAAAAGTTAATTATCAGCTTCCCTTGAAGGCAGAGCCATGCTTACTCATGGAGAAACAACATGAAACAGCAGCTGTAAGAAATTTCTTGATTTAAAAGCCAACCACCCACCCTGTCCGCTGTGCCCTCTAAAATGCTTTGAAAATGAGTCATTTGGCGCCCAGATTCTTGTCAGCCCTCCAGCCATCATAATAAACACACCCCCTGTGTCCTCCTTGTAAGCTCGGGCATGAATTCATGTAAGGTGCACTCTCCCCAGGCCTTTATACTTCCTTAGGGTGCCGTCTACACTGTTAATGACTTAAAATCTAAATCAAAACTACCGTTTCCATAGCAGGGACTATAAAAACCCTTTTCATGCACCTGGGCTAAGAAATAAAACATCAAATTCATTCAGGAATATTTTCTAAGTATTAACTATGTTATGTGTATAAAATTTATAATGATTAAGAACTCAAAGCAAAATTCTTATGCACACTGTTCCTGGGTTTTGATTTTGGTTTTTTAATTTGGAAAGTGAGGGTAAAGGAGGCCAGAAAAATAATATGGAAAGTAATAGACACAGTACTTAGACCCAAATTTGACACAGATGAACATTCGAGCCAGCAGACTTTCTACTAGAGAATATTCTTCCAGATGAATAAGATTCCATTCATTAATTTATTCAGCAAGTATTGTTGGTAATAACCTATCTCAGGGAGTGTCAAAAACTGAAGGCGCAGAAATGAGTACGCCGGCCCCGGGCCTCAAGAAACCCAAGATCTCACAGAAGCTTTAGCCAACAATATTGAAATTGTTTTTCAACTTCCTTTTATGGGCAAAAATATTATCTTTTCAGCCTAGACACACCTGACAGCAAAGAAATATGCGTGTAACTGTCCCCTTAAATTCCCAAGTATGCTTTCTATTGAAAACGCAGAGGGAAATTGAGACCCCCTAATTGGAAGCATTGTGTATGGTTTGGCTGGGATCCAGTGGGCTGATGAAAACAGCAAGGCTTCGTTGTTTTACCAGAACAGGCGAACTGATGTGATTCAGTCATGTCATGATGTTGGTCTCATAGTTGTTGTCTAAATGAGCTGCTAAACCTAGGCCTGGCACATAAGGTCTCATTCTAGAGCACCACTGTCCTCCTCTCTTCCTTCCATTCCGCTCTCTCAAATAGGAGGATCCCAGGACTCAGTATGTTTCCAGGACTCTTGGGGACCATTGAAAATCAGGGCTCGTGATCTCATGGTTCCCAAGATCAGGTGGGCTCCCTAGCTTGGTTGAGCCTCTTTCAGTCATGTAGGGGTACCTGACAGGAGGAGGCCCTGTATTGACC